AGGAAGGGGTGCAGTTGGCAGATCAGCTGAAGATGATAGTAAGCATTCCTGACCGTCACATCTACCTGGGCTGACATTTGAAGAGACAGATCCAGGAGCCCTTGTCCCAAGCTGCGAGCACAGTCTTTCAGGGGGAGTATAACCCCATCCAGGACTGGTTGACACACCTCTACCCCCAGATTAGGTCCCATGATGGCAAGCACCTCTATTTTGTCTGGATTCGGTTTCAATTTGTTTTTCCTCATCCAGCCCATTACTTCCTCTGGGCATTCATTCAGAGGACAGGCCTGTATCCAAGCAGGATTTAGGGATTCAAACACCTGGTAAAAGTCTTGCCACCTCATTTTACATCTGTTCCCCCAGTATCATTATGAGGGGGCATTAAATAAATAATTCCTGATTTTCCAGTATCATTAATTAATCATAGAATCATAAAGTTGGAAGAGACCTTGTGGGCCCCATCCAGTCCAACCCCCTGCCAAGAAGCAGGAAAATCGCATTCAAAGCACCCTGACAGATGGCCATTCAGCCCCCTTTTAAAAGCCTCTGAAGAAGGAGCCTCCACCACACTCCGGGGCAGAGAGTGAACAGCTCTCACAGTCAGAAAGTCCTTCCTAATGTTCAGGTGGAATCTCCTTTCTTGTAGTTTGAAGCCATTATTCCACATCCTAGTCTCCAGGGCATCAGAAAACAAACTTGCTCCCTCCTCCCTTTGACTTCTTTTCACATATGTATACATGGCTATCATATCTCCTCTTAGCCTTATCTTCTTCAGGCTAAAATGCCCAGCTCTTTAAGCCACTCCTCATAGGGCTTATTCCCCAGACCTTTAATCATTTTAGTTGCTCTCCTCTGGACACATTCCAGCTTGTCAACATCTCCCTTCAATTGTGGTGCCCAGAATAGAACACAGTATTACAGATGTGGTTTGACCAAGGCAGAATAGAGGGGTAGCATGACTTCCATAGATCTAGACACTATACTCCTATTGATGCAGGCCAAAATCCCATTGGCTTTTTTACCACTGCCTCACATTGTTGGCTCATGATTAACTTGTTGTTCACAAGGACTTCGAGATCTTTTTCACATATACAGCTCTTGAGCCATGCATCCTCCATTCTGTATCTTTGCATTTCATTTTTCTGCCTAAGTGGAGTATCTTGCATTTGTCCCTGTTGAACTTCATTTTGTTAGTTTTGGCCCATCACTCTAATTTGTTAAGAATGTTTTGAATTCTGTTCCTGTCTTCTGGAGTATTGGCTATCCTTCCCAATTTAGTAGGAGGGATAGCCAAGGGAACTGTGTGAAAATTACATTTATAGACCATGTGCTACACAAGAAAGGTAACAGGCTTGAAATTCACAATTACAATTGTGGAATCACTTGATTTCACCCATTATTGGAACATGGGATTTTCTTTCTCCCAGAGAGTCTTTCAATTTATTTCAAAAGTTATTAATATAATAAGAACTTTCAAGAATCGTTTCTGATTGTGATGTTCCTGGATGCCATTTAAGGTCACCAAGTCCCTGACTACAATAGACAGTGCTGTATTCTTGTTTTAAAATGTCTTTCATTCATTTTATGCTGTCATTATCTGTTTTTTTAGCATGCAGGACACTTTTCAGTTACTTCAGTCCTCATTTTGTGACATATTCCCACTCTCTCATCCACCACAACCACTGCCACTCTTTCAAGAAGAGCTAAATATCTTCAAACCAATTTCTGTCTGGCTGGAAAAGTTAGCCACTGCTGTCATCCTTTCAGTGCTCAAGTATCCAGATTGGCCAAGGGATGTGTTATGCACTGGGTAACAGCTAGATGTCCAGTAGAAATGAATGAGATCCAAGATGGCGCCGAGGCGAGAGGGTGCATAACAACGCTGGGAAGCTCAACCTGAAATTGGCTTGGGTTCTCTGGTGTCTCTGAACCTCTGTCACTTCTGGATACCACCAGGGCGCATTCAGGAACCCTGAAGGGGGGTCTTGGAGGCGCGGAGGTGAGTCCGGCGGAGAAAGAACCAAGTTAAGAAACAGCCGAGACCAGGGAAGAAGGCAAAGCGCGGCCACCATCTGGAACTGACATACCTTCATTCCTAGGTTAGGAGCTTTAATGGTATTTTATTTATCATGTCTGAAGTGAGTTGAGGGTATAAAAACACAAACAAAGTTTTAAAACTTGGCATTATACTAAAAGTCCTTTGACCAGAAGCTGGCCACTTGGAGTGCCTCTGGTATCGCTGCGAGAAGGTCCTCCATTGTGCATGTGGCAGGGTTCAGGTTGCATTGTAGTAGGTGGTCTGTGGTTTGCTCTTCTCCACACTCGCATTAATGGTAAGCACTGCTGTCTTATCTGGATTAATTTCCAATTTATTTTTCTTCAACTAGCGCATTACCACCTCCAGGCAGACTCCTCATTGTGGAGACTTTTTTCCTACTTCCTGTCTTATCCAACTTAAAACCTGTGCAACCTAACTGCATATATCATTTATTATTACTTGTGCTCTGATTCCAGTTCAGTTTGGTCTATTTGACCTGTGCTCTGACTATCTCAAAACCTCCTGTCAGAGATGATCAGATTGTGTCCTTGAACTTCACTTGAACTTCACAGATCCTTCTCAGTCAAGGATCCAAAGGACTTGACAGTCCAAACATTGCATGAGAGACACTGACCAAGCTGGATGGCAGATGGAAGAAGCAGCTAATTCATGGAAGGACACAACTGAAGTCAGCTCTTTGTGGGACTGAATAGGAAGGCATGTCCCTTTGTTTTATGGACTTATTGAATGGGATATGAGGTTGCAGTCAGAAGCTTGTGGCGATCCAGATCCTTAAATTGATTGAATTTGCTTGATACACCTGGTGGAACCTGGTGGATGTTGGCAGACAGAAACTGATTAACTTTGTTTTCAGAAGCTGACTGATATTGCAAGGCAAGTGAATGCCATGGCATTAGTTTGCTTAACATGTGTTCATTATTAATAATGACATTTAAAAATCTAGCTGTATGGGACAAAAGAAAGCAGTTTCTCACTGGTGAGTTCGAAGACACAGAACAATAATACTCAAGGCAATCCACCTGTCTGAACAACCTAACCTCTTCGTTTTGACTTAAGCTTTAAGAAATAGTTTGGACAAGTGGTGATATTGCACAAAGTCTGCACAGTCTCTATACAGAAGAAATAGTGAATCTACACAGTACAGGACTGACATAAGTCTCAGGCAGGATCTTCAGTGTATTAGAACTTTATTACACACACCAGAAGAAATGATACATAATGGATATCCAGCCATTCCATCACACCCAGATCTCTCCATTCCGTATCTAATAAAATAATGTGCTTTTCACTTATCACATCGCAGAAGGATGACTCCTCGCAATCCAGCGGATGTTCCCACATATCAATTTTTTTGTTAGATTTTGAACAACCACACAACCTTGTGACCTTCATCCACAAGGGAAAAAACGTAAAAAAACATATTTTTGGTCCTTCTGAGGTATCTAATTCCAAAATTTTAAAAAACAAAACAAAAGGGAAGCATTTATCAATGTAGAGAAATGGAACACATATGGTCTTTAAACCAAAACTGGCTAAAGCCTTTTTGGCCAGGCAAACACCACCATCTGCTAATCCACTTCATTTAACAGAAAACCTAAGATCTGTTGCGCTGGCACAGTAGTGCCAGGAGATTTGAATTCTTTTTCTTGCACTGCTAGTTTGCTTGAATTTATTTAGGCCATGCATTTTGCAATCAGGTAGCTTCCCCAGGTTGCAGTCATAGGGCCAGCAACCTGTCAATCAATCGTTGGAGCCTTTAGATCCGCCCCTTTTCCCAGGGTTTGAAGGGAAAGGAGGATTTTGTTCAGTCTTACAGTTTGGAGCCTTACAGCAGGACGTGTGGATTTTTTCTATTCCACCTGCACAAAGGCTTCACTCCTCACAGCTCTGCTGTGGAGTAACAGAAACAGTCTCACAGCTTTGCTGGGGAGAAAAGGAATAGTTCCACAGCTTTTGCTGGGGGAATACAGCCAGCCTTTGCTGGGGCAAAAGGAATAGTTTCTACAGCCTTCGTGGAGAAACTAAAGGACACCAGCTTGTCAGATCTACAGGAACCTTGTCTGGTAAGGGACCGCTCTGGTTATCCATAAAGCAGCTTCGAGCTGGGAGTGGGGGCCTCACGCCAGTAAGGTAAAGGAAGACTGCCCAAGGAGAGGCCAGAAGGTTTCCCTAAAGAAGAAAGGAACAGTTTATCAAGCAGTTGCCTGTCCCTTGTTGGCAGATTGAGAAAGCTACCAGTTTTTTAAGATTATAAAGCATTTAATTCATTTGTTTGAAGATTTAAGCTTTAATAAAGAACTTTGTTGGACTTATTTTGAGCCTCAATAGAACTTTGTGTTGGGAAACCTAAGGGACCCTTCAGCTGAGGCACCCCAGTGTCCCGATGGGTATACAGAAAGCATGTCCTGTAAACAGACATTATCACAGGCCCAGCGTGCGACAGCACATTTGTTAACAACTTGTAGGTGGAAGTGCCATCACCTCTAACCCGGATGAAGAAATAAAGTACCAGTGAAGACACTGGATTCCTGTCTTCCAAAATATACAGTCTGCAAATCTTTGCATTCGACTTTCTATAGGGTAGTGACAATATGGACCATATATCATGTGATGAGACTTGTAGGAATCAGTATGCAAAGGCTATCAGAACAGAGGCATTTTTTGTGTGATATGGTCCTATCATATGAGCATATAATTACTTTCCTATTTTTAAAAGGCCTGCCTGTTTTTATGGCCTGCACATTTTGATTTGGGTGGATCTGAGGCTGCCCGCTTCTCAAATTGTGCCCATGAATGTCTGTGTCAGGAGTCTGTTTTGAAAATCCTTTCTGCCTTTTTCACTTACACTAGTATGGGTGAATCATTACGTAGAAGAGGCTGGCCAAAGCACTGAAAGCAAAGGAAACGAAACTAATTCTGAGCTTGTTTGCCAGACTGGAGACATGGCTAAAAGTGTGAATCCCATCCAGGATCTTTGTGAGGAAGCTGAATGTCCCATCTGCTTGGACTATTTCAAGGATCCAGTGATCACAGAGTGTGGACACAATTTCTGCCTGTCCTGCATTACTCCATGCTGGGAGGAGTCGGAGAAGGAGGCCTCCTGCCCCCAGTGCAGAGAAAAGATCCAGAAAATATATGTGAAACCAAATCGTAAGCTGGCAAGTTTTGTGGAAATAGCCAAAAATCTTAGCCATCAGAGGCCAAAAGGGGAAGAAGGAAAGAGGGGAGTCTGTGAAAAACACCAGGAGCCCCTGAAGCTGTTTTGTAAAAAGGAGGAAATCCTCATCTGTGTGGTGTGTGACAGGTCCAAGGAGCATCGAGATCATGAGGTGGTTCCTATGGAGGAGGCTGTCAAGGAATATAAGGTAGGACATTCCTCTGGAAATCTGGATGTGCCCATGACTCCATAGTGTAACATGCAAGAAATACATATAAATTATCTAGAAACAGTTTTAATTACAAGTTTTTTCCATAAATAGAAGTCACGGGGAAAGCTGAGGAGCCTCGGGAATATGGATGGGGTAGATACATGGCAGAGGTGGAAGTCTGTGTCAGGGGTAGGTTGCCTTGTTATWTATAGGCAAAGAAAGATATTAGGCTTCTTATCTGGGAGGGGGAAATGCTACCTGCTCTCTATTCTTAGTAAAGTCCATGCTCCATTTATAAACTGGAGAGCTCCAAGTACCACCACCCCCCCCCCCGAACTGAAGACAAGCATAGGATCCAAATTCAATTAACCTCCTTTTCTGAACCAATGCTCAACTTTTTTTTTAATCTGTAGGATGTGATCATCAGTCGCTGSGAGCATCTGACATTGAAAATTCTGGTGCAGAAAGATGTCACAGAATCAGACAACCAAGATCTGATTGTAAGTGTAAATATCATTAGGAAGCGAATAATGATGTGAGAAATAAGTATATGTTGTATAAAATTCAAAACAATTCTTTGCTTTGTCAATTGAAATGGCCTGATGTGTCTTTTGAAAGTGGCATGTTAGTATAGAATATCAGAACGCAAAGAGAAACAGAACAAGTTCAATTTCTGGAGATCACTGGACATCTACACAATGGGCAGCACACTGTATTGCAAATTCACTGACAACTACATGTATTCACCCGCCTCTAGTTTCCATCCTGAACATACCACCAAATGCATATGTTGCTGTCTGGCTCTGTGATGCAATTACATCTGTTCAGATCCACAAGACATGTATTCCAAACTCAGGGAAATACAACAAGTATTCCTCAAGCTACAATACCCATTGCATGAAGTAAAAAACAAATACACAATTAAGACCTTGCCACAAACCTAAATGCCATCTCTAGCCTCACATTTAGTCAGGAAATGTCATCACAGGAAGCAGTTACATGGTCCACAATATCAAGGGCACTTTGACTTGCTCCCGAGCAAGGCTGCCTGCAGAACTCTTCACTGTTGTTGCTGTGCACCTTCTTTAGCTGCAAAAAGGGCTAGGAGAGAGCCCCTCTAATGAGAACCAGCTCTGTTACATACAGGTACATTGGGGGAAAGCAGAAGTATGCATTTTCTTTAGGGTAAAGTATAGTTTTCAAAATAAACTTACCCTTTTCAGCTCTCTTCTAATGTTTTGTGTCTTAGTGCCTCCCAAATGGGTACTTTCTTACATATTCTCTGAAGGCATCTGTACAGCTGGGATAAGGAACAGGAGGATGAATTAGGTTGGGAATGGCATAAGGGAGCCATTCGCCCACCTGTCTATCCAGCACGCACCCAAAGCCGGGCAATATCACTTCTGATCGACATTTGGAGCATTTCCAGCTTATTTTTGTGTGTTTGTTTCAGATTTGGAAAGGTTGTTGGAGGCTTGGGGGATTTGGGGAAGCAAACCACTGTATTTTTAGGTGTCATTGGCAGCATTTAGGTATTTTGAGGACCAAAAAATACCTAAATTCACCTGACCCCCTCTCCCCAAAAAAATGTCAATACTCCCAAAACTGGTCTTTCTATTTCAAAACTTACCGATAATAAGAAATCAAAAAATACTAAACGATTGGAAAAAAGATATAATGAGATTCATTTGGCAAAAAATAAATAAAACCAAGGATAAACTACAAAAATATGATAGAAGGGAAAAGCAAAAAAACTTTGACTTGCTCATCTTCTCATATGTTATATGTCAACAATGCTCTTCAACACCCTGCTTTGGGCAAACAGGCCATTCTCAGTGCCAAAGGAGAAATGAACACAAATCAGACTTTTGGAATAGGAATAGATATAATCCAGTTCCTGGGCATTTCATTTTTAACCTCAAAACAGCTGTTCTTGGTTTTGTTTTTTGTTTTTTAAAAAACACCTATAAGGTAAGATTTGAAAGAGGAAACCAGTCTGCACAATGCATATTTTAAAACATTAGTTAAAACCATACTTCTTATTTCTGATTCCCAGGCAGGATCACACTACACTCAAACAGCACCCTCCACCATTCATATAGTTATGTACTCACCCTGATTTTAGGCAACACCTGTCTTCCTGACTTTGTCTCCCAATGACTCTAATGAATACTGAACCTGTCATTTAAGCACTATATCTGTAAGTTTTATCTTTCCATGGCTATTCCGACTCACATTCTACCTGTAAAGCCCTGTTACTAGGCACTTCACTTCATACACCTGGGAAAGTAGACAATTTGTGTAAGCTTTTGCCACCAATTCATTTTCTCTGTGTTCCTACAAGATCTCTTTGTACATTAATAAAAGGCCATCCTGGATGTGAAACGTTGTGTATCTGAACATTGATTACTTCCTATAATTCTTAGCCTACATTTCTTCCCATTCTGCCTGCCAATTTCAGAAGCAAATAAAAATGGAGAAAGAAAGGACAATGACAGAATTCAGGCTATTTCATCAGTTTCTGGAAGAACAGGAGAAGTCTTTTCTGACCCGGATGGAGGAAGTAGAGAAGGAGATTGGAAGATTAAGGGAGGAGCGTATGGCTAAATTATCATCTCTTGAAAATCTTTATGCAGAGATGGAAGAGAAGCTTCATCAGCCACCGTTGGAACTCCTGAAGGTAAGAAGATCCCAAACCTGATTCAGTACTCTCCCGAGCAAGGCTGCCTGCAGAACTCTTCACTGTTGTTGCTGTGCACCTTCTTTAGCTGCAAAAAGGGAGAGAGCCCCTCTAATGAGAACCAGCTCTGTTACATACAGGTACATTGGGGGAAAGCAGAAGTATGCATTTTCTTTAGGGTAAACTATAGTTTTCAAAATAAACTTACCCTTTTCAGCTCACTTCTAATGTTTTGTGTCTTAGTGCCTCCCAAATGGGTACTATTCAAGCCTTTCTTACATATTCTCTGAAGGCATCTGTACAGCTGGGATAAGGAACAGGAGGATGAATTAGGTTGGGAATGGCATAAGGGAGCCATTCGCCCACCAGTCTATCCAGCATGCACCCAAAATCGGGCAATATCACTTCTGATCGACATTTGGAGCATTTCCAGCTGATTTTTGTGTGTTCAATGTATTGTCGAAAGCTTTCATGGCCGGAATCACTCAGTTCTTGTGGGTTTTTTCGGGCTATATGGCCATGTTCTAGAGGCATTTCTCCTGACGTTTCGCCTGCATCTATGGCAAGCATCCTCAGAGGACTTTTGTGTGTTTGTTTCAGATTTGGAAAGGTTGTTGGAGGCTTGGGGGATTTGGGGAAGCAAACCACTGTATTTTTAGGTGTCATTGGCAGCATTTAGGTATTTTGAGGACCAAAAAATACCTAAATTCACCTGACCCCCTCTCCCCAAAATACTAAAATGACTAGTAGTTCTAAGGGCCACACTTTGTCCATATCTGAATTTCTTAGATCTACAGCTCCACTAAACATAATTTGTGTTGTATATAGCTTCACTGTTGGTTGAACTGGAGTACAAATACTAGTGCTCCCAGGTGTAAAGGCCAGTGGCAAGGAAAACTGGCAGCTTAAGTCCATCAAAATCAGAATTCCACCCTTGTTTAAGAGGATTATGTGGACTTTAAAGAGTTTTATCACACTGACTGCATGTACAGAAAAATGCAGTGAAAAGGCCAAGCATCCCTATGCATTTCCCAAGCTATCCCTTCCTCAACATGTTCTCCACTTCCATTCACCTATGACACTCTGAGATGCAAATGAAGGTACTCAATCCTCTTTATTGCTCTGTCAGCAATAACATTTTAAATGAAGCTTTGTACTTGTGTAAAGCATCACTAACGGAACCAGAGTGCCTCCCCACAAAGTGGTGTGTGAAAGACCCTGACTGTCCTCTTACTTTCTTTTTTCCTTCTAGGATGTGAGAAGCATTCTGCAGAGGTAAGTAGATCCTGTTCACTTCACAATTCTGGAAAGGGTCTGGATATGGCAAGTGAAATTTGGGGGCTGTCACTTGGAATGAAGGAAATATTTCTGGGTGGTGCAAGGCATGACCTTAATGTTCTCCTCTGGGGAGTTCAAAAGAAAAGGCTCTATGTGCTTAAAGTGATGCATGCAGATCCTTTGCCTAAATGAAAATGTGAACATGATTGTTGCTTGTCACCATCTGGTAATGTCTTCTGATGGCTCCTTGGATTGTCCTCAGATGGATTTCCCACACATGGGTCAAAACCAATTAAATATAAGCTGTGCTATTCTGAACCAGTTTGGCAAGATCCCCATTCATCTATATAAATAAAAATGTCATGTTAGTTTGTGAGATTAACATAACTCAATAACCACTGGACGAATTGACACCAAATTTGGACACAAATTGAGTGACCATCACTCATAAAAATACTGAAAAACATAGCGGAAGGGACTTAAAAAGCCAAAAAAGCAAAAAGACACTACAGCACATGCGCAAAACCATATATATGGTTTCGCACATATATATGCTCAAATATACACATATACACACACAAAACACATATACACAGACTGGGCCACAGCAATGTGTGGCAGGGGACGGCTAGTGTGTGTGTGTGTATAAATGCAATGTTCGTTTGTGGGATTAACGTAACAAAAACCACTGGATGAGTTGACACCAAATTTGGACACAATACACCTCTCAGGCCATCAAGTGACCATCACTCGTAAAACACTGAAAAACACATAGGAAGGGACTTAAAAGGCCAAAAAAAAAGCAGAAAGACGCTACAGTGCATGCACAAAAACATATATATGGTTTTGCGCATATATATGCGCAAATATACACAATAGGGCTGGGCAACCACGGAAAAATTTGTTTCTAAACTCGATTCGTTTTTAGAGGGTTTTTGCGTTTTGATTTTTAAAATAATTCCGAAATTTTCCTTTGAAAAATTTCGTTATTTACGAAATTTCGTAAATTACGAATCAATTACGAATCGATTTCGAAACAATTACGAATCGATTCGTTAATGGCGGGCGCGATCGCGCAATACGCTAAAAAAACCTCCAAATGGGACAGGAAGCTTCCCTCTCCCTCTGTTGTTGACTGTTGGTGTGATAATTTTTTTTTTCACTGAGAAAACAAACAGCAACCCTAAAACTTGCACCAGACATGCGGAAATAATAACGAAACAATTTCAAAACGATTTCGAAACGATTTCGAAACAATTACGAAATGAATTGAAAAATTCGTTTCGATTTTTAGTTGCTCCTAAATGGTTCAATATCGGTTCGTAAGCTAATTTAAATACGAATCAGTAACTAATTACGAAATTAACGAACGAAATCGCCCAGCCCTAATACACAAATTTATACACACACAAAACACATAGACACAGATTGGGCCACAGCAATGTGTGGCAGGGGACGGCTAGTTATAAATAAATGAGATAATTAAACACTTCATGTTCTCTTGAATGCAACAGGGAGGTCATATCTTGTCAGTAGGAGGGAAGGTGTTTCAAAGGAAAATTCCAATTTCTATTTTTTAAAATAAGACTTCAATCTTTAAAGATGACCAGAAATCTAGAAGACCATTTTCTATCTATTGTCTTTTTGTTCAGACAGGAGGCACCTAATTAACTAAAAGCTTACTTGCAAGTCATATTTATCTAACATAGTTTCTCAAACTGTTCTGCTCCAGATGTTTGGACTTCAGCTCTCAGAATACCTAACAGCTGGTAAACAGACTGGGATTTCAGAGAGCTGAAGTCCAAAACAGTTGGAGGAGCAGAGACTACTATATCTTGTAACAGACTATTTTTTTCCGGCCTGTCTTTGGATGGTGATGAGAGTTGTTTAGATTTCTCCTCTCATCAATGGCAAATGCACCTTTAGGGTGAATTCCCCACTTGGCAATTCACTCTTAGCCTAGACTTCTCTTCTATATAACTAACATGACTGTTGTAGTAAGCTCGGTAATATGGATGATTGTGGCTGACCTTCTGTTAAACATTTCTCCCATATCCTCTTTTACTTTATCAGCTTAAGTGCTTCAGATACTGTAACAAGAATAAAGTAGGCCTTTGTGAGTGTTAAGGAAAGTGCCCATATTGTTATGGTGCCTTATTTATTATTTATTATTTATTTCGAGCTTTTATAACCCGGTCTTCTCGACCTCCGAGGAGGGACTCAGGCCAGCTAACAGCAGAGGGTTAAAATACAATAAGATAAACCACAGTAAACATCATAATACAATAGTACAAAAATACATTAAAATACAATTATACAACTTCATCAGAATAAATCATAAATTCATCGCCATTTGCCCATGTGGTCAGCAGTTATTGACTCAAATCATCATTCTGCAAATGCAGTATTCCAAAGCCATGTTTTTACCAGCTTTCTAAAAGTCAGGAGGGAAGGGGCAGATCTAATCTCCATCGGAAGGGAGTTCCAGAGCCGAGGGGCCACCACTATTTATTTATCGTGTCATCAGCAACCATTGTATTACAATTCTAACAGAGCAAAACAAACACAGAGATTAAAAAGAAAAAGAAAAAAAAGAAAGGAAAAAAAACCACACAGATTTTGCAAATTTGGTATTTGGTTAAATGTCCTTTGACCAGTATCTGGCCACTTGGAGTGCCTCTGGGGTTGCCGCAAGAAGGTCCTCCATTGTGCATGTGGCAGGGCTCAGGGTGCATTGCAGCAGGTGGTCAGTGGTTTGTTCTTCTCCGCACTCGCATGCCGAGGATTCCACCCTGTAGCCCCATTTCTTAAGATTGGCTCTGCGTCTCGTGGTGCCAGAGCGCAGTCTGTTCAGCGCCTTCCAAGTCGCCCAGTCTTCTGTGTGCCCAGGGGGGAGTCTCTCATCTGGTATCACCCATGGATTAAGGTGCTGGGTTTGGGCCTGCCACTTTTGGACTCTCGCTTGCTGGGGTGTTCCAGCGAGTGTCTCTGTAGATCTAAGAAAACTATGTCTTGATTTAAGTCGTTGACGTGCTGGCTGATACCCAAACAGGGGATGAGCTGGAGATGTCTCTGCCTTGGTCCTTTCACTATTGGCTGCTACTTCCCGGCGGATGTCAGGTGGTGCAATACCTAAGCAGTGTAATTTTTCCAGTGGTGTAGGGCGCAGACACCCCGTGATAATGCGGCATGTCTCATTAAGAGCCACATCCACTGTTTTATCATGTGAGATATGTTCCCACTGGGCATGCATACTCAGCAGCAGAGTAGAGCGCAAGGGCAGATGTCTTCACTGTCTGGTTGTGATCCCCAGGTTGTGCCAGTCAGCTTTCGTATGATATTGTTTCTAGCGCCCACTTTTTGCTTGATGTTCAGGCAGTGCTTCTTGTAGGTCAGAGCACGGTCCAGAGTGACTCCCAGGTATTTGGGTGCGCTGCAATGCTCCAGTGGGATTCCTTCCCAGGTAATCCTCAGAGCTCGGGATGCTTGTCTGTTCTTAAGGTGAAAGGCGCATGTCTGAAAGGTGAAAGGGGCCACCACTGAGAAGGACCGAGAGCAGGGCCCCTCCAGAAGATCTTAATAACCTTGATGGTTCATAGGGGAGAATCCGTTCGGACAGGTAAATTGGGCCAGTCGTTTAGGGCTTTATAGGTCAACCAGCACTTTGAGTTGTGCTCGGAAGCTGATTGGCAGCCAGTGGAGCTGACGCAACAGAGGAGTAGTATGCTCCCTGTACCCCGCTCCTATTAGTAGTCTGGCTGCTGCTCGTTGGACTAGTTGTAGCTTCTGGGCGGTCTTCAAAGGCAACCCCATGTAGAGAGCGTTGCAATAGTCTATACAGGATGTAACCAGAGCGTGGACCACCGTGGCCAGATCAGATCAGACCTTCACATGATGATCCGGAGACTCCTGCCCAAGACTGAGATCCATTTGTTGTTGTTGTTGTTGTTGTTGTTGTTATATTTTTTCAAGATGATGGTGACTTTGAGGACTTTAACATGTGGTTTTCTCAGAAAAAAAATATTCAGGTGAGGTTTGCCATTACTCCCACTTAGCTAAGAAAGTGTTTCAGTGGTTTTTCATGGCCGAGTGAATATTTGAACTTGGGTTCCCCAGCGTTCCACCTCAGTACTTACGTCACTACACTACACTGGGTTTGGCACTTCTGGACTGACTTGGAAGAGTGGTGAGTTAATCTTGCTTTTTTATTTCCCCCGAGGAGTGAGAACGAGGCCACACTTCCGGATCCAATAGATTTCCTTCCTGAACTAAAATGGAAAATATGGGACTTGGGCGATATTAGACTATTTCTTTCTGGCACCATGAAGAAATTCAAAGGTAAGAGAAACTGTAGCTTGGTTTATGTTGGCTTTATATGAATTAGAATATGACAAGCTTTCTTGCCTCCTTCTTGTTGCTAGATGGTTTTTTTGTTTTTTTGTTTAATTTTGCTTAGAAAAAGTTACAGAAAGTGAAGCTGTTGCAGCATGGGCATTGGTTAATAATTTGGCTGTTGCTCTTGAGACCAACTGTGGCTTCCAAAGCATTTTCAGAGCCCAATATAAAGTGTATTACAATCTTCTGAGCAGGATAATAATAATAATAATAATAATAATAATAATAATAATAATAATAATAATACAGTCCTGTACGCTTGGGAAGTGTTCGACTTGTGATTTTGTGATACAAAATCCAGCATACAGATCTCATTTGCTGTGACATACTGTGTTTTTGTGTCAGTAATATAATTATAAACAATAAAACGTGAGAATTCACTACTCATTACACCCACATAGTGATGTCAACAGGCTTTACCTGCCCAGAAAACCAGAAGGCAGGGGTTTCTGCAAGTCAAACAAATGGTTTCACATATATGCTGAAATAGCATAGGGAACAAAACAGCCACCACAAAACAGACCCTCCAGGTTTCATCCTTGTGAGACATCCCAATAGAATATCATGGTCAATCATATCAGAAACTTGAAAGATGTAGCAGTAACCAGCAGGGCACATTCTACTCTCTGATCCCTAGCATACTTTATCTACCAAAGTAGTGTCCAATCATAACAAGGTTTGAAACTAGATTGAATCAAAACATCCAGGAGCCTCTGCAAATAACAAGAGGAAAAATGGCACTATCTAGCTTCCAAACGTATGTACAGTCAACTTGGAGCCCATTTTAGAGAGCATAGCAGAATGTATGGAACTCAGGCATGTAGCGGAGGGGGGGGGGGGGTTTGAGGGGCTTCAGCCCTCCCCCCCCCCCAAATTCTCAGGGTGGTCCGTGAGAAGGCCTTACTGGTATGTGGCACGGTGGTGTCCTTGTCTGCGCCTGGGCCCTCGCTGCACTTTCTTTCCTTTTCTGTGCCCCTGGTTTCAGCCTTTGGTGCCGGTGGGAGAGGAAAGGGAGTGTGCCGACAGCCCAGGCACCAAAGAGGATGCTGCCACACTACAGATGGCCACAATAGGCCTTCACGCCCATGCACTCAGCAGTCCTTTGCGCCTGTGCATTGAAGTCTTGCCACACGCACGGCTGGGAGTGGAATGTGTCGAGCCCGTCGGCTGCCTTCTGGGACTCTCTGGATCCAGGTAAACAACAACTCGCATTTGAAAAAGGGCAATCATTCCCAATCCCTGCCACCATGCACAGTTGGGCACATTGGTTCTATGTGCCAAGTTTAGCCGAGATCTAGCGTTGGCTTGGTTCAATGCCCTCTGGGTAAGGGTGCACTGCAACTCCCAGGCTAGGCACATAATGTTGTGTAATATTACACCATCAATTAAGAAAGATACTGAGGTACTTAAAGTGTTAGAACTGTGTGACAAAACCTACTATTGGTCAATAAATTTCCTTTTCACTGTGTTAGCTACTCTACCAGTAACGACATGCAGTGTGGAAAGATCATTTTGAAGAGAGTGAAAAGTGTATCTAGAAGTTTAATGACAGACCAGAGACTTAGTGGACTAGCAATGATTGCCATCCATCGGGACATCACTATCAAACCAGAAAAAGTAATTGACAAAATGGCCGGGGAGAAGAAAAGAAGACTGTTACTGTAAAGTAAAAAATAAATCAAAAAGTATTCTAAACATTTTGTTAATGAACGTAATAAATAACATTTATTATTTAAACTGTTATGTTTATTCATATCATGATCTGATCACCATGCTCAATATATCCCATATGCATGGGGGTATTGGGGTAATGATACAAAAGGTTTGCTAGGGTAGACTCTCTTTCACTCAGACTCAGCCCCCCCCCCCCCCCCCCGAATCAAAATCCTGTCTATGGGCCTGATGGAACTGATATCCACAAGTTTGCATTTCAATCTGCAAGTAGTTTACAGTTGCTAAGAGAATTGCCCTCTGGCAGATTTATTTCAGTTTGACTTCAGTTCTATACTTGAAATAAGGAAACTATTGAAGCAATTGTATGAATGGGTATATTTTGTTCATTGGGGGTAATATAAGGTTGGTTGTGTGGTGCTTAATCTTTATGTATCTATTTTTACTCAGATATTGTGCTGTCTGAACTCCCACTGCAAAAAGGTAAATTTCTGATGAAGTAGTAACAAGAAGTTCAAAATAATAGTTTGATAGATGTGTTTGCTTGATGGAACAGGAAGTCATTTTTAATGTGTGGGGAGGATAATACAATTTGTTTGTTTTTAAGTGGCGATGGTCAGATGTAGGATTCTTGTTGGTTTATTATGCAGCTTGCTTTTCGTGTTGTATTTAAAGCTTTTTTTAAAAAAATCATAGTGAATGGACACTAATTTTGTGGAAACACTGATAGCTTTACATGTGAGAGGTTTGAAAAATCAGTAATCCTATAGCCACAGAACTCAAAGGCATGGATCTGGGTGCAAAGGGATCTTGAAGCACTTTTGAGACTTTTGATGCTTCTAGAACATGACCATATAGCCCAAAAAACCTACAACAACCCAGTGATTCTGGCCATGAAAGCCTTCGTCAATACTTTTGAGACTGAGTGAAAGAAGTTGGGACTTAAGTCTCTATCTCCATGCATCTGATGAAGGAGACTTAAGTGTATGAAAGCTTATGCTACCAGCTTTTATTTATTTATTTATTTACTCTATTTGTATCCCAACTTTCTCTACCCCGAAGGGGATTCAAAGCAGCTTTACATATTGCAACTCTTCAATGCCTTCAAACAACACAGTTAGAATACATTAAGTTAAAGATTTAAAATTAAAAATAAATGCACGTTAAAAACATATAAGACACTGCAATCTCTATTGAAAATCACGCCATCCACAATTATAATCCGGGGCCATTCCAAAAGTCATTACACATAATTCTGTATCTATTATTACATTGTAGTTAATCTCCAAAGGCTTAACCGCAGAGCCACTTTCACTTTTCTTCCGAAGGCCAGGAGGGAGGGAGCTGCTATGATATCACTGGGGAGGGAGTTCCACAGTCGAGGGGCCACCACGGAGAAGGCCCTCTCTCGTTCCCACCTCTCGACACACCTGCGAAGGAGGCGGGAACAAGAGCAGGGCCTCCCCAGACCATCTTAATCTCTGAGTTGGTTTATAAGAGGAGTTACGTTTAGACAGGTAAGCTGGACCGGAACTGTTTAGGGCTTTATAGGCTAAAGCCAGTACTTTGAATTATGCTCAGTAGCAGACTGGCAGTAGCAGACTGGCAGCCAGTGGAGCTGATGTAACAGGGGGGTTGTATGATCAACCTGGCTGCAGTCCATTGGACCATTTGAAGCTTCCGAACAGTCTTCAAATGCCCGTTCCACACAGCTGTATAAAAACCACATTGAACCTGATTATATGGTAGCGTGGACTCAGATAACCCAGTTCAAAGCAGATATTGTGGATCATCTGCCTTGATATTATGGGTTATTTAGTTGTGTGGAAGGGCCCTTATTTCTCAAAGGTGCTATAAGACCTTGTTACATCTGTTTGGGATTCCCTGACATGCATTAATAAATACACAGATAGTGGCAAGTGCTGCTCCTGCAATGTTTATTTCAAAATGCAGAGAGGTTTATCTACTCAGGGTTTCATATTAATAGGATCCCTGAAGAAGAGGAAGGGAAGTAATGCTGACCCATGCATTGGTTGCCTGCATTGAGCCCAAATGCAAGTATAAAGTGAAGCAGGAATTCAGCTCTAATTTCTTGCAGATGCGCTTAAAAGCTATCCTGCACAATGACACTGAGTGATTGTAGTTTTTCATTTCCAAGTGTATTTATTTTATTAATTCATTCAAATATTTGCATCTTTTGCTATATCTACAAACAGGAAGGGTAAGGAGCTCTCCATAGTGCTATGCTAATAATATAATATAATGTAATATAATATATTGTATATACATATAATATTTATAATATTATAATGTAATACAATATAATACTGATAACAATCTAATATTACAATTATATATTTTATATTACTAATAATATTACAATATAGTGGTATAGTACAATATAGTAATATATGATACTGATATTACTATGCTAATAATATAATATATTGTGTGTGTGTGCGTGTGTGTGTATGTGTATGTATATATATCTATCTATCTATCTTGTAAGCCGCTCTGAGCCCCCTTTGGGGTGAGAAGGGCGGCACATAAATGTCGCAAATAAATAAATAAAGTACTTAGAATTATCATCCTGATTATTCACCAAATTGATGCTGCTCCTTCTTTGTTTTTTACCCCATATGTCTCCCCCTCATCCAAATTAGGAAATATAACTCTGGATCCAGACACTGCTCACCCCCAGCTCACTCTGTCTGAAGATCTTAGAAGTGTGGCTCTGGGAGACAAACATCAATCCCTGCCTTACAATGAAAAGAGATTCGGGACATATTCTTGTGCTCTAGGCCGTGAAGGATTCACAGCAGGCAGATATTTCTGGGAAGTCACTGTTGAAAATGATGAAAAACACTGGATGATAGGAGTTACCAGAGAGTCTGTACAAAGAACGGGAGTCCTTGTCTATGGTCCTGAGAGAGGGATCTGGGCTGTAGGAAAGTGGAGAGGTCGCTTTGTGGCTATCAGGACTCATTGTCATCATAATTTGTTTTCAAATAGGAATCTCAAGAAAATCCGAGTGTCTCTGAACTATCCTGGAGGCCAGGTTGCCTTTCATAATGGTGATACAGGGGACCATCTCTATACATTTTCTGAGGCTTCATTCAGGGGAGAGACTCTCTTTCCCTTCTTTTATGTACTGGGAAAAAGCCACCTGAGAATCTCTCCTTAAAACCGCCCAGCAAGCCAAAGTCATAAGCCTTCCTCTTTAGGTCACTGTGACGAAATCAAAGATTTGTGGCCCTTTACTCCCTTCTTCAAGATTATCCAGACAAGGGAGCCCCCAGTGGCGCAATGGGTTAAGCCCTTGTGCCAATAGGACTGCTGACTGACAGGTCAGTGGTTCAAATCCAGGGAGAGCAGGTTGAGCTCCCTCTGTCAGCTCCAGCTCCACATGCGAGGACATTAGAGAAGCCTCCCATAAGGATGGTAAAAACATCAAAACATCCAGGTGTCCTTGGGCAACCTCCTTGCAGATGGCCAATTCTCTCACACCAGAAGTGACTTGCAGTTTCCCAAGTCATTCCTGACACACACACACACACACACACACAAATTCCAGACACAGCCTTTCACATTGTCCTTAAATATCCTATACCCACAGAGGAAGAGTTCAGATTTTTCTAAGAATTCTCTCAGCAGGTTTGTTCTTAAGGAACACGTCTCTTATAGGAATAAGCAGGCTGCCTGCCAAGATGTTCAGAAAAAAATTAATAAAACAAAGTACTAGGTTTAATTGTTATTGGAGAGAGATTGGAGTCTGGGGATGGATGAGAGGGAATGGGCAAAGTTTATTTTGACCACCACAAAGTGAAAATTGTTTCGAATAAATGGAATCTGCCAAATCTTCTATTATTATTATTATTATTATTATTATTATTATTATTATTATTATTTACTTTAGTTCATCATCATCATCATCGCCTATCCCTGAATGAGGACAAACAATTGAAATTGAATCCAGACAAGACAGAGGCACTCCTGGTCAGGGTATAAGATTACAACTGGTGTTGGATGGGGTTGCACTCCCTCTGAAGACACAGCTTGGGAGTGATTCTGGACTCATCCCTGAGCTTGGAACCTTAGGTCTCAGTGGTGGCCAGGGGAGCTTTTGCACAAACTAGTCCATGCTCTGGTGACATCCCGAATAGATTACTGCAACATGCTCTACATGGGGTTGCCTTTGAAGACTGTTCAGAAACTCCAATTGGTCCAACGGGTGGCTGCCAGATTGCTCACCAGAGCGGGGTACAGGGAGCACACAACCCCGTTATGCCAGTTCCACTGACTTCCAGTCTGCTTCCAAGCCCAATTCAAATGATATTAGAATCATAGAAGAGTTGTAAGAGACCTTGTGGGCCATCCAGTCCAACCCCCGACAGATGGCCATCCAGCCTGTTTAAAAGCCTCCAAAAAAGGAGGCTCCACCACACTCAAGGGGCAGATAGTTCCACTGCTGAACGGCTCTCACAGTCAGGAAGTTCTTCCTCATGTTCAAGTGGAATCTCCTTTCTTGTAGTTTGAAGCCATAGTTCCGTGTCCTAGTCTCCAGGGCAGCAGGAAACAAGTTTGCTCCCTCCTCCCTATGACTTCCCCTCACATATTTATACATGACCCTCATGATGTCTCATCTCAGCCTTAACCCCCGGTGGCGCAGTGGGTTAAAGCCCTGTGCCGGCAGGACTGAAGACCGACAGGTCGCAGGTTCGAATCCGGGGAGAGGCGGATGAGATCCCTCTATCAGCTCCAGCTCCTCATGCGGGGACATGAGAGATGCCTCCCACAAGGATGATAAAACATCAAATCATCCGGGCGTCCCCTGGGCAATGTCCTTGCAGACGGCCAATTCTCTCACACCAGAAGCAACTTGCAGTTTCTCAAGTCGCTCCTGACACAACAAAAAAAACCCAACAACAACAAATCTCAGCCTTCTCTTCTGCAGGCTAAACATGCCCAGCTCTTTAAGTCACTCCTCATAGGGCTTGTTCTCCAGACCCTTGATCGTTTTAGTCGTCCTCCTCTGGACACATTCCAGCTTGTCAATATTGCCTGACTTTGGGTGCATACTGGATAGGAAAGTGGGTGATGGCTTCCTTATGCCATTCTCAACCTAATTCAGTCTCCTATTCCTTATCTCAGCCACCCAGATGCCTTGAGAGTATGTAAGAAAGGCATTAATAGTACCCACTTGGGAGGCACTGGGACACAACACATTAGTAAACAGATGAAAAAGCTACGTTTATTTAGAAAACGCTATCGTTTACCCAAAAGAAAATGCATACTTCTGCTATCCTCCAATGTACCTGTATTTAACAGAGCTGGTTCTTATTAGCTCTAGCTAAGCCCTTTTTGCAGATAGAGAAGGTGCACAGTAATAACAATAAAGAGTTCTGCAGGAGGTCTTTCTCTGGAGCAGTAGTTCTCAACCTGTGAGTCTCCAGGTGTTTTGGCCTACAACTCCCAGATATCCCAACCAATTTGCCAGCTGTTAGGATTTCTGGGAGTTGAAGGCCAAAACATGTGGGGATCCACAGGTTGAGAACCACTGCTCTGGAGAGTCATGGAGCAGGTTTCTGATCTTCTTACCTGCAGGAGTTCCAGTGATGGCTGAGGAAACTTCTCTTCCATCTCTGCATCGAGACTTTCAAGAAAGGATAGTTTAGCCATGCGCTCCTCCCTTAACCTTACAATCTCCTTCTCCACCTCCTCCAACTGGGCCAGATGAGACTTCTGCTCTTCCAGAAACTGATGCAATTGTCTGAATTCTGCCATTGTCTTTTCTTTCTCCATTTTTATTTGCTTCTGCAATTGACAGGCAGAATGGAAAGAAATGTAGGCTAACTATTACAGGAATGATAACTGTAAATTTCTACAAATATTAAACCAGCGTTCAGATACACAAGGTTCCACATCCAGGATAGCCTTTTATTAATATGCAAAGAGATATTGTAGCAACCTAAAGCCCAATAGAGAAAATGAATTGGTGGCATAAGCTTTCGTAGATTGTCTACTTCATAGAATCATAGAATCAAAGAGTTGGAAGAGACCTCATGGGCCATCCAGTCCAACCCCTGCCAAGAAGCAGGAAAATTGCATTCAAAGCACCCCTGACAGATGGCCATCCAGCCTCTGCTTAAAAGCTTCCAAAGAAGAAGCCTCCACCACACTCTGGGGCAGAGAGTTCCACTGCTGAACGGCTCTCACAGTCAGGAAGTTCTTCCTAATGTTCAGATGGAATCTCCTCTCTTGTAGTTTGAAGCCATTGTTCCGCGTCCTAGTCTCCAGGGAAGCAGAAAACAAGCTTGCTCCCTCCTCCCTGTGACTTCCTCTCACATATTTATACATGGCTATCATATCTCCTCTCAGCCTTCTCTTCTTCAGGCTAAACATGCCCAGCTCCTTAAGCCGCTCCTCATAGGGCTTGTTCTCCAGACCCTTGATCATTGTAGTTGCCCTCCTCTGGACACATTCCAGCTTGTCAATATCTCTCTTGAATTGTGGTGCCCAGAATTGGACACAATATTCCAGGTGTGGTCTAACCAAAGCGGAATAGAGGGGTAGCAATACTTCCCTAGATCTAGACACTATGCTCCTATTGATGCAGGCCAAAATCCCATTGGCTTTTTTTGCCGCCACATCACATTGTTGGCTCATGTTTAACTTGTTGTCCACGAGGACTCCAAGATCTTTTTCACACGTACTGCTCTCGAGCCAGTCATTGTCCCCCATTCTGTATCTTTGCATTTCGTTTTTCCTGCCAAAGTGGAGTATCTTGCATTTGTCACTGTTGAACTTCATTTTGTTAGTTTTGGCCCATCTCTCTAATCTGTCAAGATCGTTTTGAATCCTGCTCCTGTCCTCTGGAGTATTGGCTATCCCTCCCAATTTGGTGTCGTCTGCAAACTTGATGATCCTGCCTCCTAACCCTTCATCTAAGTCATTAATAAAGATGTTGAACAGGACCGGGCCCAGGACGGAACCCTGCGGCACTCCGCTCGTCACTTCTTTCCAGGATGAAGAGGAAGCATTGGTGAGCACTCTCTGTGTTCGTCCACTTAACCAATTACAGATCCACCTCACCGTAGTTTTGCCTAGCCCACATTGGACTAGTTTCCTTGCCAGAAGGTCATGGGGGACCTTGTCGAAGGCCTTACTGAAATCCAGGTACGCTACATCCACGGCATTTCCCGCATCTACCCAGCTTGTAACTCTATCGGAAAAAGAGATCAGATTAGTCTGGCATGACTTGTTTTTGATAAATCCATGTTGACTATTAGCAATGACCGCATTTGTTTCTAAGTGTTTGCAGACCACTTCCTTAACAATCTTTTCCAGAATCTTGCCTGGTATCGACGTGAGGCTGACCGGATGGTAGTTGTTTGGGTCATCCTTTTTTCCCTTCTTGAAGATTGGGACCACATTGGCCCTCCTCCAATCTGCTGGAACTTCTCCCGTTCTCCAAGAACTCTCAAAGATGGTTGCCAATGGTTCCGAAATGACTTCCGCTAGTTCCTTCAGTACTCTTGGGTGTAGTTGATCTGGCCCTGGGGACTTGAACTCATTTAGAGCGGCCAGGTATTCCTGGACGACTTGTTTCCCAATTTGGGGTTGGATGTCCTCTAATCCCTCATCCACTCCATCTTGCTGAGGTAGAAAATGACTTTCTTTTTGTAAGAAGACCGAGGCAAAGAAGGCATTAAGTAGTTCTGCCTTTTCCCTATCCCCTGTCAGCATTGCCCCATCTTCTCCTCGAAGAGGCCCTATCGCCTCCTTGTTTTTCCTTTTTCTACTGACATAAGAAAAGAAGCCCTTTTATTGTTTTTAATGTCCCTGGCAAGTCTGAGCTCGTTTTGTGCTTTAGCCTTGCGGACCTTTTCCCTACTTGCTCAGATGCATGGAGTGAAGTGCCTAGGAAAAGGACCTTACAGGCATTATGTGTGTCTGAATAGTCATGGAAAGATAAAACTTGTGGGTATGGTGCTTAAGTGACAAGCGCCATATTAATTATAGTCTTTGGGAGACAAAAAAAGAAATATAGCTGTTGCCTAAATCCAGGATGAGTAGTGTAATTCTGATACTGAATTAGAAATGAGATATGTGGTTTTTAACTAATTTTTAACATAACATGTATGAGGAAACCATTGTTTCTGTTCAATCCACTGTTGACAGACTGGTTTCTCTTTCCAATCTTACTTTATAGCTGTTTATAGGTGAGCACAGTGGGTTGAACCGCTGAGCTGCTGAACTTGCTGACCAAAAGGTCAGCAGTTCGAATCCGGGGATAGGGATGAGCTCCCGCTGTTAGCCCCAAGTTCTGCCAACATAGCAGCTCGAAAGCATGCAAATATGAGTAGAGGAATAGGTATCACTTCTGTGGGAAGGTAACGGTGCTCAATGCAGTCATGCTGGCCACATGACCTTGGAGGAGTCTATGGACAATGCTGGCTTAGAAATGGAGATGAGCATCACCTCCCAAAGTCAGACATGATTACACATAGTGTCAAGAGGAAACCTTTACCTTTACCAAAATGTGAGGGTAGAGCTGGCATTTGTGTTTGTGGTAAGGTCTTAATTGTGTGTTTGGTTTTTACTTTATGTGATGGCTATTGTAGCTTGAGGAATGCTTGTTGTATTTCCCTAAGTTTGGAATCCATGTCTTGTGGGTCTGAGCAGATGCCATTGCATCAGAGAGCCGAACAGCATCCTATGCATTTGGTGGTATGTTCAGGATGGAAACGAAAGATGCATGAATCCATATAGCTGTAAGTAGATTTGCAATACAGTGTGCTGCCCATTGTGTAGATGTCCAGTGATCTCCAGAAAATGGACTTGTTCTGCTTCTCTTTGCATTCTGATATTCTATACTAACAGGCCACTTTCAAAAGGCACATCAGGCCCTTTCAACTGACAAAACAAATAATTGTTTTGGATTTTATACCGTATAGACTTATTTGTCCCGTCATTATTCACTTCCTAATGGTATTTACACTTACAGTCAAGTGTCTGATTCTGTGACATATTTCCGTACCAGAATTTTCAATGTCAGATGCTCCAAGCGACTACGGATCACGTCCTACAGATTAAAAGAAAATTGAGGGTTATTTATTTATTTACAGTATTTATTTTCCACCCTTCACACCCCAAAGGGGAATCAGAGCAGATCACAATGCACGCATACATGGCAACCATTCAATGCCATTTTTTAGACATACACACTGCCACAGATAGAAGTATTTTTGGCATTTACACTTCGGCGCCTGGATGTTATGCTCAATTCCGGCCACAGGGGGGACTGTCGCATCATCCACTATGATGCCAAAACATTTTGATCAGTAAGAAGGCAGTAAGAAGCAACACCTTGAAACTGCAAGGCCATTAAATGCTAACCAAGGTGGCCAATTGCTACATTCACACTTACCTCAAACAGACAGACTTTCTCCCACCCTGGACATTCCATAGATATATAAACCCCATTTTTCCTAGTTTTCAACAGACCTCACAACCTCTGAGGATGTCTGCTACAGATGTGGGCAAAATGGGCAAAATGTCAGGAGAGAATGCTCCTGGAACATGGCCAGACAGCCCGGGAAACTAACAGCAACTCAGTGATTCCAGCCTTAGAGAACACATTTACACTCAAAACAAGGGAATTACACACAAGAAACAATCAGAGCCAGCTAATCACCTCCCAACAAAGGATTTCCCAAGGCAGTAAGAAGCCACAAAAGTCAACATTGACACTTAAATACAACACCGCCTGAGCTTCATTTTTCTGAATGAAGCAGAGAGTGTTTGAGGACCAGGACATCCATAGGGATACCAATGTGCTTGTTTATAAAGCTATTGACTTCCCAACCCTGCTATACGCCTGTGAGACGTGGACTGTCTACAGACGTCACATGCAACTCCTGGAACGATTCCATCAACGCTGCCTCCGGAAAAGCCTGCAAATCTCTTGGGAAGAAAAGAGGACAAATGTTAGCGTGCTGGAAGAAGCAAAGACCACCAGCATTGAAGCGATGGTCCTCCGCCATCAACTCCGCTGGACCGGCCACGTTGTCTGGATGCCCAACCACTGTCTCCCAAAGCAGTTGCTCTACTCCGAATTCAAGAATGGAAAATTGAATGCTGGTGGGCAGGAAAAGAGATTTCAAGATGGACTCAAATCCAACCTTAAAAACTCTGGCATAGACACTGAGAACTGGGAAGCCCTTGCCCTTGAGCTCTCCAGCTGGAGGTCAGCTGTGACCAGCAGTGCTGTAGAATTTGAAGAGGCACGAATGGATGGCGAAAAAGAGAAACGTGCCAAGAGGAAGGCGCGTCATGCCAACCCCGACCGAGACTGCCTTCCACCTGGAAACCAGTGCCCTCACTATGGGAGAAGATGCAGATCAAGAATAAGGCTCCTCCCAAAGCTGCTCTATTTGTTCCAAAATCTACCTATAATTAGGAATATCAAGATATTCAAAAGTTGGACAAAAGACCTACTAAAAATTATCTGGAAGGGGAAAAAACCAAGAATTAAGTATCAAATGTTAATGGACAAAAAAATAGAGGAGGCCCTGGTTTCCCTAATTTTAGGTTGTACCATGAAGCATGCGTGTTGATCTGGTCAAAAGACTGGGCTGCATTGAAGAGAGAAAATCTGTTAACTTTAGAGGGCCACGACCTGCGGGTCGGGTGGCACGCATATGTCTGGTATGGAAGAGAGCAAAAGGAAAGAAATTTTGGTAATCACTTTGTCTGCTCCTCACTTATTAGAATTTGGGACAGATATAAAAAACATTTTATTCAAATACACCGCTTTGGATCTCCCCTATGGAGGCTGTTGGGATGGACAGTATGGCCAACCTATAAAGATCTTTTAATGAAAGGTTCAACGGAATTGAAACCACATGAAGAATTAAAACGAAATTTTCCTAAAATTTCCTGGCTGAATTACCGTATATTCCGGCATATAAGACGACTGGGCGTATAAGACGACCCCCAACTTTTCCAGTTAAAATATAGAGTTAAGACGACTCCCATGCATAAGACTACACCCGCGTATAAGATGACCCCTGACTTTTGAGAAGATTTTCTTGGGTTAAAAAGTAGTCTTATACGCCAGAATATACTGTACTTACAAATAAAGGAACAATATAATCAAGATAGAAAGCAAGGATTTCAAACAAAGAAAGTGTTTTGGGATAAGTTTATGGAAACCGAAACAAAGTGTATAACAAAATTATATGAAAAATTGCTAGAATGGTCAACGGAGACAGAAGCAATAAAAAACTGCATGATTAAATGGGCCGAGAACCTTAAAAGACCAATAGCATTATGTGACTGGGAAATAATGTGGAACAAAAAACTTAAATATTCTTACACAACTGACCTAAAAGGGAACTGGTGGAAAATGTTCCATAGGTGGTACATGACCCCTGTTAAATTACATCACATGTATAAAGAAACATCAAAAACTTGCTGGAAATGTTTAGAACAGGACGGCAGTTTCTTCCATTTATGGTGGAGTTGCCCGGTAACACAGAAATATTGGAAAGACATCCATAAAGAAATGCAGTTAATTTTTAATAAAAAATTCCCGAGAAAAGCCGAATACTATCCACTGGGAATTACTGACAGAGAAATAATCCTCGACTCAAATGAAGATATTTTATTTATGTACCTGACAACAGCTGCCAGAATGGTCTTTGCAAAACTCTGGAAGCAGAAAGAAATACCAGATAAATTTTACTGGATAAAGAAGATAAATGAAATCAAGGACATGGATAAATTAACTTTTTTACTTAAAAAGAACACTGGCAATCCGATTAAATAGACAAATTGGTCAATAATTGATGAGTATATTGAAAATGGGTACAAAGATACATAACAGGCACTGAGGTAACAACAAATTGGATAGATGCACTATATAAGACTATAGATAAACAGAATTTATACGGGCAGAACCAGAAGGAAGTCCATTTTTTCATTGCTTTTTAGCGCTTTTTTTTCTTCTTCTTAATTTTTTACATTTAGTTAGAATCTTGTCACTATAATTTCCTACTTTACTATCCTCTTGGAAAATATTCCCCCACTTTCGTTGTATTTTATTTTATAAAATTCAATATATATATATATATATATATATATTATATATATATATAGAATAAGGCTCCGCAGTCACCTACGCAGGGGCAGCTCAACCCATTACGCAAAGTAAGCATTTGCAGTATAGTTGATTTTGCCCAGGGGCTCTCTTGAGGCACTCTTGGGGGAAAATAGACCTTGACATATGCGAGTTGTAGTTACTGGGATGTATAGTTCACCTACAATCAAAGAGCATTCTGAACTCCACCAATGATGGAATTGAACCAAATATGGCACACAGAACTCCCACAATGAACAGAAAATATATATCAGTGATTGGTTGGGGGGGGGGGGGAATACCGTTTGCTTAGGTGGCGCAGTGGGTTAAAGCACTGAGCTGCTGAGTTTGTTGACCAAAAGGTTGCAGGTTTGATTCCAGGGAGCGGCGTGAGCTTCCGCTTTCAGGCCTAGCTTCTGCCAACCTAGCAGTTCGAACACATGCAAATGTGAGTAGATCAATAGGTACCGCTCCGGCGGGAAGGTAACGGCGCTCCATGCGGTCATGCTGGCCACATGACCTTGGAGGTGTCTATGGACAATGCTGGCTCTTTGGCTTAGAAATGGAGATGAGCACCAATCCCCAGAGTCAGACATGACTGGACTTAATGTCAGGGGACTACCTTTACCTTTTTTACCATTGAAAATTACCTAGGGCCCTCGCTGCACTTATGGACCCACTGCCAGTACACCAACCTTGGAAGACAATCCTACTCGGACTACAAGGGATCACCTAAGTAAGTAAGAAGCCAGACCTTGAAACTGTTAGGCCACTAAATGCTAATCAAGGTGGTTAATTGAAACATTCACACCTACCTCCAACAGACAAGAGTTCTTTCTCCCACCCTGGACCTTATAAACCCAATTTTGCTAATTTCCAACAGACCTCACAACTGGTTGTTGTAGGTTTTTCCGGGCTATATGGCCATGTTCTAGAGGCATTTTTTCTCCTGACGTTTCGCCCGCATCTATGGCAAGCATCCTCAGAGGTAGTGAGGTCACACAACCTCTGAGGATGACTGCCATAAATGCGGGCGAAACGCCAGGAGAGAATGCTTCTGGAACGTGGCCACGCTGCCCGGAAAACACACAACAATCCAGTGTTTTCCCGCCATGAAACACTTTTGAAAGTTGCCAAGAGTCCGTTCCGGAAATCCCTTCCGCCTTTTCCAAACGCCGTGGGGGAAATTGCCCAGCCCTTGAAAGAAAAAGAAACTGAAAGTTAACTTTTTGGGAGAACTGAGAAGGGAGCCATGGCTGCGGGTGGGGGGGACCCCGTGGAGGATCTCTGCGAGGAGGCCACCTGCCCCATCTGCCTGGACTACTTCCAGGGCCCGGTGATCATCCCCGGGTGCGGGCACAGCTTCTGCCTCTCCTGCCTGAGCCCCAGCCTAAGCCCAAGCCTGGCGGGTGGGAGCAAGGAGAACCCCCCGTGTCTCTGTCCCCAGTGCAGGCAAGCCTTCCAGCCGGGGAGCCTCTTCCCAAACCGGCAACTGGCCAACCTGGTCGAGATCGCCAAGAAGCTGAGAGGTCAGGGGGACAAGGAGAGAAGGCAAGGGCAAGGGCAAGGGGGAGCCTGCCAGAAGCACCAGGAGCCCCTCAAGCTCTTCTGCAAGGAGGACCGGAGCCCCATCTGCGTGGTCTGTGACCGGGCCAAGGAGCACCGAGACCATCAGGTGGTCCCACTGGAGGAGGCCGCCCAAGAGTACCAAGTGAGCAACACACCCAGGAGTCATGGTTTCAGGAAATGTTTCAGCGTATATTTTATTTATTTACAGTATTTATATTCCGCCCTTCTCACCCCGCAGGGGACTCAGGGTGGATCACAATGCACACATACATGGCAAACATTCAATGCCATAGACACACAACATATATAGACAGACACAAAGAAGCTATTTAAGTTTCCAGCTTCATGAAGGTATGTTCGAATTCTGGCCACCAGGGGGAAGCTGTCGCTTCACCGATGGAGTACCTCCTCATTCTTTTGCACACTGCTGGAAAATTTTATAGCATCGTAAATTAATTATAACCAGGATTGTGGTGCAGCTGGCTGAGTGTCAGCTGCATTAAGATCACTCTGACCAAAAGGTCATGAGTTCAAAGCCAGCCCAGGTTGGAGTGGGTTTCCAACCAATTGCGTGTAGCCTGTTGTCGGCCTTTGCAACTACAGAAAGGAGATTCCATCTGAACATTGAGGAAGAACTTCCTGACCGTGAGAGCTGTTCAGCAGTGGAACTCTCTGCCCCGGAATGTGATGGAGGCTCCTTCTGTGGAGGTTTTTAAACAGAGGCTAGATGGCCATCTGTCAGGGGTGCTTTGAATATTCCTGCTTCTTGGCAGGGGGTTGGACTGGATGACCCATGAGGTCTCTTCCAACTCTATGATTCTATGAAAGACAGTTACATCTGTCAAGTAGGAAAATTAGGCACCACCTATGTGTGGGGAGGCTAATTTAACTAATTTATGAGGCCATAAAAAAGACTCCAGCAAAGCACTCCAGCAAAAGCATGCGGGGAATGCGGAAGTACTTCATCAGTGTCGCAGATGGACGATGAAAGCAACAGCTCCCTGGCGGCCAGAAAAGTTAAATAGCCTCTGACATCTATATTTGTTGTGTGTCTTTGGCATTGAATGTTTGCCATATATGTGTACATTGTAATCCGCCCTGAGTCCCTTGTGGGGTGAGAAGGGCGGAATATAAATACTGTAAATAAATAAATAAATAAATAGCCTCCCTGCATAAGTGGTACCTAAATTTCCTATTTATTTATTTATTTATTTGGAAGTTTTCTATACCGGCCTTCTCACCTCAACGAGGGACTCAGGTCGGTTTACAACATATATGCAAATACAATAATATATAAGTACAACAGAGTGCAACATCATTACAGATTAAAATAGTACAATAAAGTACAATAAAAACATCATCATCACAATTACCCAAGCCAAGTCGTCAATCAGTCATAGTCATAGTCACAGTTCATCATCCTCCTTCCTTGTGGACGGAGGTTATAGATTCAGTCCTCGAATGCCACATTCCAGAGCCAGGTCTTTAGTAGTTTCCTGAAAGTCAGGAGGGAGGGAGCAGATCTAATCTCTAGTGGGAGGGAGTTCCAAAGCCTTGACAGATGCAACTGTCTTTCAGGCTGCAAAGGTCGACAGCAAGCTACATAAATTGGTTGGACACTCACTCCGACCTGGGCTGGCTTCGAACTTGTCACCTTTCAGTCAGTAGTGATCTTAATGCAGCTGACTCCCAGCCAGCTGTGCCACATCCCTACAGATGTGTACAAATATATACATGTACAGCTCCAGAACCTCAATCAATGGCTGATACCAAATGAGAGACTCCCCCCTGGGCACACAGAAAACTGGGCGACTTGGAAGGCGCTGAACAGACTGCGCTCTGGCACCACGAGATGCAGAGCCAACCTTCAGAAATGGGGCCACAAAGTGGAATCCACGACATGCGAGTGTGGAGAAGAGCAAACCACTGACCACCTGCTGCAATGCACCCTGAGCCCTGCTACATGCACAATGGAGGACCTTCTTGCGGCAACACCAGAGGCACTCCAAGTGGCCAGATACTGGTCAAAGGACATTTAACCAACTACAAAGTTTTAGCCATCTGTCAGGGGTGATTTGAATGCAATATTCCTGCTTCTTGGCAGGGGTTGGACTGGATGGCCCAGGAGGTCTCTTCCAACTCTTTGATTCTATGATTCTATGTTGTGCCTGGATTATGCTTCAATTTGTTCTCATCCTTTCCATTTCCGACAACCCACACTGAAGCTAATTCCAATCTTCCGTGGAATTAGCTGGAAAAAAGAGATAGAGTTGGTAACTCTCAGTATACTGCTAAATCACAAAAATGTTGTCCTTCCCACAGTCTACTGAAGTCAGTATTGATAACGTTGCTGCTTACAATCTGCCACCTGAGTCAGTTGCCTCAATCTTTCTATGCTTCATAATAGTATTGGCTTTGAATTCAAGCACCAGACTGCATAACAGGGAGGGTGCACTGATATCATATACAATCCTTCTCCTGTTCTTAAACAAGCTTGATCTTTTGTTTTAGGATCTGGTCTCTATTCAATTGGAGCTGCTGAGGGTGAAGAGAGAAAAAATTCTGAAAGATATAGCAGATGCGGAAAAGGAGGGCCAAGAGCTGCTCGTAAGTGTCACCAATGTTGGGAAGACTTATGACTTGATTAATTTGAGTTAACAGAAACCGAAGTGTAAGTTGTAGTATAATCTATTTCTCATTCAAGGCTTTAAGGCTTCATCCAAACATTGCAATACTACATAGAAGCTCAGTCAGAAGAGTCCTGTGGGAACTTTTCCCCCCAGTTTTGGACTCAAGACATCTTACAGCAGTTTAAACAAATGCAGTTGATAATTTTCACAGCATACTAAAGGGGAAAAGTAATTGAACAATCATCAAATTAAAACCAATCCATGAAACAGAAACAATAAATTTATAGCATAACAGACATCATATGCTATCTCTTTAAAAGTCAGTTGTCAAAGGCCTGCCAAGACAAAATGGTTACTGAAAAAAGTCACCGAGCATAAAAAGCATTTACTGTTACAGATTATCTGCCTACCTCATGTATGCCAATTAGTTTATTTTAATAATGAATTGGGAGGAGCAAGGGAATTTAAGGAGTATCTGAAAATTTAAACTAATGCAGGGTTGAGCTCCCTTGGTCAGTTCCAGCTCCCCATGCGGGGACATGAGAGAAACCTCCCACAAGGATGGAAAAACATCAAAACATCCAGGTGTCCCCTGGGCAACATCCTTGCAGACAACCAATTCTCTCACACCAGAGGTGACTTGCAGATTTTCAAGTTGCTCCTGACACGAAAAAAAATCACTAAGGTTTTTGGAGGAAAGGAGTTTCACTAGAAAATCCATTTCCCTATTCAACAGGGTTTTTATCATTTTCAGGAAATTTGTCAGCTCTCAGGCAAATAGATCCCTAAAGAAATTTACCATATTTATATTTCGCCCTTCGAACCCCGCAGGGCACTCAGGGCGGATCACAACGCACATATCCACAACAAACATTCAATGCCATCAACACACAACATATATAGACAGACACACAGAGGCTATTTAACTTTCCAGCTTGATGAGGGTATGTTTTTGAATTCCAACCACCGGGGGACCTGTCGCTTTACCGTCCACTTGTGACACCGATGGAGTATTTCCTCATTCTTTGCACGCTGCTGGAGAGTTTTTCATAGCGTCATAAATTAGTTAAGTTAGCCTCCCTGCATAAGCGGTACCTAAATTTCCTACTTGACAGATGCAACTGTCTTTTGGGCTGCAAAGGTCGACAGCAAGCTAGGTGAATGGCTGGAAGCTCACTCCAACCTGGGCTGGGTTCAAACTCATGACCTTTCGGTCAGTAGTGACTCCCTACCAGCCATGCCACAACCCAGTCCAAAAGGAAGAAATCTGGAAGCTGTTGAAAAAAATATTTATTGCTTTTAATATTGTTGAACTGCCCCTTTTATGTACCTTAGCATTTATTGCAGATAAAAACTACTAATGCAGCTACTTGAATGGGACCATACTATTTTTCACAGTATTTTTAAAGGAAGCCTTTTTTAAAAAAATCCATCTTGAAATTCTACTTTAACATCAGGTACCTTTCATTAGACAAAAATACCTTTTCTATTAAAAAAAAATCCTTGATATTTGTTATAATTATCTTTTTATGTTAGTCATACTTGTGTTGTTGTGTATCTTCACGTCATTTTCAACTTACAGTGATCTTAAAGGCTTTCTAAAGCTGAAAGTATGTGATTTGCCCAAAATTCCTTCAGGTAACTAAGGGCCATTCCACACAACCATATAACCCAGAACATCAAGGCAGAAAATCCCACAATATCTGCTTTGAACTGGGTTATCTGAGTCCACACTGCCATATATTCCAGTTCAAAGCAGGAAAGGGCCTAAGGGCGAACTGTGAGTTATAATAAAAGTGAGTTGTAATATAAGTGAGGGCCTTGAGTTATAATACAAACACTGGCTTTTTCTTCTTCTCCATCTCTGTGTTGCAGGAATTAACACAAACGGAGAGGCAACAGACAGTGGCTCAGTTCCAGGAAATACGTCAGTTCCTTGAAGAACAGGAGAAACTTCTGCTGGCCCACATGGAGAAAGTAGAGAAGGAGTTAGCAAGGCAGAAGGAGAAACATGAGGCCAGGCTTTCTGAGGACCTTGCCTCTGTTAAAAAAATCATCTGGGAGCTAGAGAAGAAGAAGCAGCAACCAGCCAGTGAACTCCTGAAGGTAAAACAGGCGGAAACAGTCATGGTTCCTCTCCAGGGGCAGGATGAAACCCAGGATTTGTATGTCTTCATAAAAAAAAGCTAAGGAAATATTAGGCTAGTGGTTCTCAACCTGTGGATCCCCAGATGTTTTGGCCTTCAACTCCCAGAAGTCCTACCAGCTGGTAAAGTGGCTGGGATTTCTGGGAGTTGTAGGACAAAACACCTGGCGACCCACAGGTTGAGAAACACTGGGCTAGGCGAGCCACTTACAAATAAAGAGTGCAAGTTATTACTTATACATTTTGAGACTAGATCAGTGGTTCTGAACCTGGGGTCCCCAGATGTTGTTGGCCTACAACTCCCAGAAATCCCAGCAGGTTCACCAGCTGTTAGGATTTCTGGGAGTTGAAGGTCAAAAACACCTGGGGACCCCAGGTTCAGAACCACTGGCCTAGATTGTCTGAAAGGGCACATTTACACTCACCACTTAACTCAGGGCCCTTCCACACAGCCATATAACCCAGAATATCAAGGCAGAAAATCCCACAATATCTGCTTAGAACTGGAATATATGGCAGTGTGGACTCGGATATTGTGGGATTTTCTGCCTTGATATTCTGTGTTATAAGGCTGTGTGGAAGACCCCATATGCCAAAGGCAGCTTGAAAATGAGTTGCTGGGCCAAAGCTAACAAAATGAAGAGCTGTATGATACTACACTTTGGCAATAATAACTTTTTGTCGTGTCAGGAGCGACTTGAGAAACTGCAAGTTGCTTCTGGTGTGAGAGAATTGGCCGTCTGCTAGGATGTTGCCAGGGGACGGCTGGATGTTTTGATGTTTTATCATCCTTGTGGAAGGCTTCTCTCATGTTCCCGCATGAGGAGCTGAAGCTGATAGAGGGAGCTCATTCGCCTCTCTCCAGATTCGAACCTACGACCTGTCAGTCTTCAGTCCTCTCGGCACAGGGGTTTAACCCACTGCGCCACTGGGGGCAATAATAATGAAAAGTGCAGATATAGGATGAGTGACTGACTTGAAAACAGCCCAGGAGTTTTAAGCCCCCTCTACACTGCCATATAAAATCCAGATTAAGTGTTTTGAACAGGATTATATGGCAGTGTACATTCAAATCCCACAATATCTGCTTTGAACTTATACTTTCACATAGCCCTATATCCCAGAATATCAAGGCAGAAAATCCCCCAATTTCCACTTTGAACTGTGTTATCCGAGTCCACACTCAGATAATGTGGGGTTTTCTGCCTTGATATTCTGGGGTATAAGGTTGCGTGGAAGGGCCCTGGGTTATCTGAGTCCACACTGCCATATATCCTGGTTCAAAGCAGATAATGTGGGATTTTATTCAACTGTGTAGAAGGGCCCTATATGAGAGTTAAAAATCTGATGAAAAGGTTTTCTCTTGGTTCCACCACCATCGCAGATACATCTGGTGAAAACTTGAGAAAGTTCTGTTCTGAGGCTATGGAATTCTCTGCCAAGAGAGGCTTGGCTAGTTCCTATTTTCTTTTCACCATCAGTGAATATAACCTTACAAGAAGCCATTTATTTGATGTATTTGGAACCATAACACAAAATGAAAATGGAATTAATAAAAAAGCACAACCAAGGAACATAGAACATGGCCATATAGCCCGAAAAACCTACAACAACCCATTGATTCCAGCCATAGAATCATAGAATCAAAGAGTTGGAAGAGACCTCATGGGCCATCCAGTCCAACCCCCTGCCAAGAAGCAGGAATATTGCATTCAAATCACCCCTAACAGATGGCCATCCAGCCTCTGTTTAAAAGTTTCCAAAGAAGGAGCCTCCACCACACTCCGGGGCAGAGAGTTCCACTGCCTTCAACAATACATTAAAATATTAAGCTTATAAATGCATTTTGGCTATTGAAAAATATAAGTATGTATGCTGTAATGTGGAAGGAAGGGGTCCCCAGCAAGCCTCATAGGTAAAAAGAACTGAGAAAAGAGTGATCCTTTATCCAATTGGACTTGTCAACAAATTATCAGAAAATGAGCCATTCAAAGCAGGGGAAATCCTGTGTTTAAAAAGGTCATCTGCTTTTAATAACTGCATTGGGAATGTTGGATTATAATAAGTATTAGGTTTAACGGTTCTAGATTTTTTTTAAGTGGATTTTTGCTTAATGCTTTCTTTTAAAAATAGTATTTGGATTGTTTTAATTAATTAATTTTTCCCTACATGATAAGCTGCTTTAAGCCCCTATAGGAAAAAAAGTGGGATGATAAATAAATAAAATAAGACCATCCAAGTGAACTTGGACAGTTTACCTTAATGCAAACTTGAAATTCCTTTTTTTCAATAACCCCCTTATTTGGAAACGTTTGGAAATAAATACTGTAGAGTCTTGCTTATCCAACCTTCACTCATCCAACATTCTGTATTATCTAATGCAGTCTGCCTCCCGCTTGGAAAAATGTCCAGGGAGGAAGAAAGAAGGAACCCTTGTCTGTTTTGGTGCTAAATTTGTAAATATAGTAATTACTATATAATGTTACTGTGCATTGAACTGTTTTGTCTGTCGATTTGTTGTAAAATACAAAGTTTTGGTGCTTAATTAATAAAATAATGTAAAATAATGTAAATAATGTAATTTGACGTTAAATAGGCTTTTCCTTAATCCCTCCTTATTATCCAACATTTTTGCTTATCCAACATTCTGTCGGATAAGCGAGATTCTACTGTACAATGTTATTGTCAGCTCTTTGACATTGTTCCCCTTTGATATACAAAGAGTGATGTACTCCTTGCATGCCAACACTTGGGTTTCCTCTTTTTTCTCACTCCAGGATGTGGAAAGTGTCTTGCAGAGGTGTGTATCTACCAATTTCCCTTTAGTCTCTGTGATGTTGGGGATGGGCTTTATGTAAAAGCCGTGGCCCTTCAGGCTCCTGATTGAGAGAATGAAGACCTCGTAACCTCTAATATTTCACAGATAAAATTGGTGACAGTATTTTAAAATTATTTCCCTTTTATTGTGACAGCCAATATCGTTGACAGTTGATCTTTGCTTCCACTCATCACATATAGCAGATCCTATCTATCACCCCTTCGCCTGTAAATCTTTATGTTGCACTATACCAAGATCTAAAAGGTATATGGTATAGTGAAATGTTTAACCTAGTGCATTTTCATCTCCTTTACACTGTCCGTTGATAACGTTTAGACAGAAGATTCAACAGATGCCCCATCTGCAGTGCAATATCATGTAGTTTGGAACTTTGTTGAACTGCATTTTATGAGTCCACACCACTGGTTCCCAAACTTATGGTCCATGGACCACCAGCGGTCTGCAAGAATGAAAATATGGTCCATGGCCTCATCATTACTACACCATTGCCTTGAAACCATGCAGCAACGAGAGCAACTGGTCTCGCGAAACCTTCTTATAGGGCCGAGGCAACAGGGCTGTCGGGAGGGGAGAGGCTGACTGCCCATGAAAGATTACAACTACCACATCAGCTCTAGATGATTAAATATGCTTTTCTGTGGGTGAGCAGATGGCGACTACTGGATGGCATATGTTCTGTATCAGAAACTAGAGATGATGTAGTCTATCCAATGCAGTTTTCTGAATCAGCACCCCAAATAACCAAACTGAATCTAAAGTTGACCAAAAACCAATTCGTAATCCTTTTGGTACTAATGTTGGAGAGCAGTCCCTGGTCAGAAAAAGGTTGGGAACCACTGATCTGCACTAACTATATAATGCAGTTTCAGGCTGTATGAAATGGCAGTGTAGATGGGGCCATCGTTGCAATGTATCTTGGACAGATTTTCCTCTTTTCCCAAATTAATGCCATAGTTCACAATGCTTAATCTGCTTTGTCTTTGAAGGTATAAACCAGGGGTCCTCAAACTAAGGCCTGGGGGTCAGATACGGCCCTCCAAGGTCATTTACCCTGCCCTCACATAGGGTCAACCTAAGTCTGAAAAGATTTGAAAGCACACAACAACAATAATCCTATCTCATCAGCCAAAAGCAGGCCCACATTTCCCATTGAAATACTAATAGGTTTATATTTGTTAAAATTGTTCTTCATTTTAATTATTGTGTTGTTTTTAAGTGTTTTTTGTACTACAAATAAGATGTGTGCAGTGTGCATAGGAATTCATTCATTTTTTTTTCCAAATTATAATCCGGCCCTCCAACAGTTTGAGGGACTGTGACCTGGCCCTCTGTTTAAAAAGTTTGAGGACCCCTGGTATAAACTGTTGTCATTGAACTACATCATTATTGCTAATGAGAAGAGATTTTACAATACATAGTTAAGTTTCAGTGTCCCTTAAAGCAATAGAACTATATCAAAAAAGGATTTTATTTTCTGTCCATTTATTTATTTTCAACTTTTCATTCAAAATCTTCATGCAATTCTAAGTGACACAACCATTTAACATTTGATCTGCTCAGAAGGTATTTATTTATCATGTCAGGAGCAAACCAAAGCAGTTGTATTGCATTAAAAACAAACAAACAAATAAAACACAAAGTTTGCAGACTTGGTATTCTATTAAATGTCCTTTGACCAGTAGCTGGCCACTTGGAGTGCCTCTGGTGTTGCTGCAACAGGGTCCTCCATTGTGCATGTCGCAGGGCTCAGGAGGTTACTGGATCGCTTTCCCCCAACTTTCTGTAACATGGGACAAAGCCACTGTGACACAGCCTTGCCCCACATTACAGAAAGTTGGGGAAAAGCCCAAATTCTGACACAGAATTTCTTGACTTAGTGCAAGTTGACACAGTTGGGCCAGTTCCCAAACATAATCAGCCACAACTTTTTCCACTGTCATCCTGATTGTATGAAATCCACATTTTGGCTGTATTTTGATTCCCTGTGGGATTCTGTTGTGATTAACTTCACAATTCAGCAGCAGATCAGTTGCACAACTTCAGCACTTTCTATTATTTATTTATTTATTTGGTGCATTTATTGACCGCCGCTCTCAGCCCTAGGGCGACTCGCGGCGGTGCACAACATATAAAAACAGTTTACAAAAAGGGCAAAACAGGGAATCAATACAACAATAATACACTATAATCTGGTTACACTAAATAATCCGCTCCGTCACATCATAGAATCATAACCAATATCGTAATCCGTATTCCGTTCCAGTTGTCAATTACCAGTTGCCGTAGCGCTCAGTTGAATGCCTTCTCAAATAGCCAGGTCTTCAGGCTCTTTCGGAAGGACAGAAGGGAAGGCGCCTGTCTGATGTCAGCAGGGAGGTCGTTCCACAGCCGGGGGGCCACCACCGAGAAGGCCCTTTCTCTCGTCCCCGCCAGACGTGCCTGTGAAGCAGGCGGGATCGAGAGAAGGGCCTCCCCAGACGATCTCAAGGTCCTCGTGGGCTCATAGGCCAAGATGCGGTCCGAAAGGTATTTTGGGCCGGAACCGTTTAGGGCTTTGTAGGATAACACCAGCACCTTAAATTGGGCCCGGTAGCAAATCGGCAGCCAGTGGAGCTGGAACAGCAAGGGCGTTGTATGCTCCCTGCGTCCCGCTCCTGTTAGTAACATGGCTGCCGCGCGCTGGACTAGCTGAAGCTTCCGGGCCGTCTTTAAGGGCAGCCCCACGTAGTCTTCCTGCACAGTATTTTCAGTCAACTGCTCCCACAGCCTGCAGTCACTCTGGAACCTTTTACAGACACTTGAGCACATGCCCGGCCATTGTCAGTTTTACCATTGTCTTTCCCCCAGTCTAGATGATATTACAAACTTACCACAGCATACAGTTATATCTTGTCTTAGCAGACAGGTTCTTTAATTACATATAGCCTTCGACGAACAACATCACAGCACAAGGAGAAATATACACTGTACACGACTTCCTTATATACAATTCTATACAATTACACATAGCAATCTCTGATTGGTTCCCAACCCATTAACTTAACTCAGACCCAGGATTACATCATTCACAATCACCTGGATCAGGCCAGAACACATTCCCCAAATATTCCCTATATACAGTTAATGCATGACTCAGTATTTCCAATAGAAGCCCATTAGCAGTGCATGACTCAGCTATATTACATTACAATACATTGTAAAACCTGACAGATTCTCAATTATATCTATGACGCATTTTTTGCACTAGGAGTAAAGAGAAGGCAGCGATGTTTCAGAATCCAGTGACTTTCTCTCCAGACTTGAAATGGAAGATTTGGGACTTCTGTGATATTAATCACTTTCTGAAAGCCATCATGGAACAATTCAAAAGTAAGGGAACAAAATACTATATCTATTATAAAAGTTAGTGTTTGTATGTATGTTTGTATTATGTTTGTGTGTATGTATTTTCCAAGATGACCCAAACTTTAAGAGAGCACTGTAATATCCACCAACAATGAATCTGGATCAAACCTGGCACACAGACACCCCCCCCCCACCCCACCCGTAACCAACAGAACATACTGAAGGGGTTAGAAGCAGATGGACCCTACATTCTGAGAGTTATAGTTCACCAACAAGATTGCCTTTTCTTAATAAATAGCATTAAAAATTATCTAACCCGGGCATCACTGGCAACCTAAGCTAGTATATAATACAAGTGATTTTGGCAAATGGAATTCATAATCATTTGGAGGTTGTCACCTTTTGAAAAAGCATGATATTTTAGAGGAGAGCAAAAAACTTATTTTAGAATCTTTCCAAGTGGTATACAACCAGATGTGTTTATGCAAGGCAATTTGGCTTTCAGTTGCTAGACTGATAACCTGTCTCTGATCTGTTAGGAAAACTGAGATTATGCCAATGGATAAAAATAGCAGTGCTTCAGAAGTGTTTTTCAGTGCCCCAAAATACATCTTTTATTTATTTATTTATGTATAGTTTTTATATTCCGCCCTTCTCACCCCGAAGGGGACTCAGGGCGGATCACAATGCACACCTACATAGCAAACATTCAATGCCGTGTTTAGACATACAAGGCAGACAGACAAATAGGGGTATTTGGGATTTTCCGACTTCAGCGCCTGGAGGTTATACTCAATTTCAGCCACAGGGGGTTGCTGTCGCTTCATCTACTATGACACCGAGCCCTTTTTGATTGTAGTATTTATTCTTTGTTCTTTGATCGCCGATATTTTTATGGTGCCTAATTACCTCCTTGCTTTTAACTGGTGCCTAATTTCTCTGCTCACAGCTCAGCTGTTTTCGAATTCCTTAGGTGGACAGTAAGCAGAGCTTAAGAGTCGGGTGCTCAATCTGACTTGGTCTTCGAAGTTGCCACCTTCTGGTCAGCAGTGATCTATTGCTACTGGCAATTAACCAGCTGTGCTACAGCCTGGTCCATAAAGCAACTTGTTTTATGTCATGCACTCAAGAGACAAAAATGAAGTAGACTTTGGTAAAAACTAACATATTTGGTTTACTCACAACTTAAAGTGTTCAGCATACACAGGTACACAACTTATCAGTCCAGTTACAGATATGTTTGAGATAGTTTCTGTGTGCAGATAGCACAGGACATCTCTCTTACAAGTGATTTGAGCAGTCCAAAGGCTAAAGAAGTCTGAAGTCTAAAATGGAGTCTGAGCAATCTTAGAGCTAATCATATGGTCTGCAGCCCCTCCCACAACCCTCAGGAAACATAGAGCAAGGGAAAGCTGCATACCAGAACATATATACAATACAGTAAGCAAGCAACAGGATTATAGACAAAATAAATTACTAGAGGAGGCTTGAAGAAGGTTGTAATTTCCAACAAGTGAAAGTGTATGTATTTTCGAAGATGGCTCCAACTTCCGAAGAGTACTCCCACCAACAACAGATCTGTTCCAAACTTGGCACACATACCTCCCTACGACCAACAGAAAATACTAGGGGGGGGGGGGGGGGGAATAGACACTGGATGATGGGAATTGCAGTTCACCCTGCATCCAGGAAGAAACTCCAGAGAGCACAGTCAATCCCATTGACGATGAATGTGGCCCAAACTTGGCCCACAGATCCACCATGACCCACAGAAAATGCTGGAAGGGTTGCTGTCCTATGTTTCATGCTTCATCCAGAGATCTATGTGAACCTCCCCAGCAATTAATCTGGACTGAATTTGGCACACATATCCATCATGACCAACTTTAACCGGTGATGTGATTTGAAGGGCAATGACAGGATGATGTTGGATATCGTTCATCCATAATCAAAGAGCACTATAATCTATAAACTCCAAGAGTTTTCCAAATTACAGGTCAGGTATATCTATATTTCAGTTGGAATTCTGTGCCCGCTTCTTTGAGGAATAAATTTCATGGAACACAATGGGATAGACATGATCAAATGTCTAGGAGAGAACTGAGTAGGCATGCACAGGACTCCTTATTTGCATTAGCTTTCACATAATTTTTGCAATATGTAATCATGGTGCTTTCCCCTTCCTTTTCTTTTTCTCATCCAGAAACTCTCTTGAATGGACTACCAATGAAAAAAGGTAAATTTCTAATGCAGGACCAAATACACTGGGCTGATTTGATGTATCCAATGCAATTTTTTGAATCGGTGCCCTAGATAAATAACTACAGGCCAAAAAACTAAGACACTAACATTTTCTTTGGTTTGAGCTGTGATTGGTTCTCCTCCAAACACATGAAATTATAAGCTGTTTCTATGAATTTCAAAACAAATTGCATCACTTTTCTGCATAGTCTTTTCTTTGTGATTTATTTATTGATTTATTTATTTCGAACATTTTTACCCTGCCCTTCTCAACCCCTAGGGGGACTCAGGGCAGCTTACAATTGGCAACAATTCAATGCCGCTTCATAAAATACAATAACAAAAATAGCAATTAAAACCATGAACATTAAAATAAAAATTAAACGGTATACTTATAATCCATTTAGCTATTGCCAGTCTGGTGGCTATTTATCTAGCCATATACTAATGATTACTCCACTTCACTTATCCAAATCCACTTCCAAGCCATAGTCAAATATTATCCATTGTCCTTTAACCTGATTGCCCGAAGGCCTGGTCCCACAACCACAATTTTATCTTCTTTCTGAAGGTGAGGAGTGATGACGATGATCTAATTTCCCCGGGAAGCGTATTCCACAGGCAGGGGGCTACCACCAAGAAGGCCCTGTCCCTTGTCCCTGCCAAATGTGTTTGAGACAACAGCGGGGCCGAGAGCAGGGCCTCCCCAGAGAATCTTAAGCTCTGAGGTGGGACGTAGAAGGAGATAGGTTCGGACAGGTATGCTGGACCGGAGCCGTATAGGGTTTTATAGGTCAAAACCAGCACTTTGAATTGTGCTCGGAATTGGATCGGCAGCCAGTGGAGCTGACACAACAGGGGGTGGTATGCTCCCTGTATGACGCTCCAGTGAGTAATCTGCTGCCGCCCGTTGGACCAATTGCAGTTTCTGAACAGTCTTCAAAGGCAACCCCATGTAGAGCGCGTTGCAGTAACCTATTTTAATGCAATCCATAAACCATGTTTTTGGTTGAAGGCATTGCCACTGATGCATGGCTGCTTTTTTATTTATTTAAAACGTTTATCTTCCGTCCTTCTCACCCTGAAGGGGACTCAGGGCGGAGCACAACATACAAATGGCAAACATTCAATGCCAGGACATGAATTCATTATATGCATACATAAACATTAAAAACATTTGTCTCAATATTAAAATACACTGTTTAAAACTGTCTTGATCATCTGTGTCAGAATATTCTAATTGGCCTGGTAAGGTTTCCTATCGTTGCTTTATTGCGCTGTCCCAAAAGCTTGGTCCCACAGCCAAATTTTTACCATCCTTCTGAAAGACAGGAGGGAGGGGGTCAATCTGATCTCACTGTTCTTCTCCAAGGTCAGTTGGCTTCCCAGACAGAATAGAATCATAGAATCCTAGAGTTGGAAGAGACCTCATGGGCCATCCAGTCCAACCCCCTGCCAAGAAGCAGGAATATTGCATTCAAAGCACCCCAGACAGATGGCCATCCAACCTCTGTTTAAAAGCTTCCAACGAGGGAGCCTCCACCACATGACACTCAGAAAGCAGGGCCTCTCCAGACGATCTTAAATTCCTAGATGGTTCATAAGTCCAACCCTCTGCCATGCAGCAAAAGCACAATCAAAGCACCTCTGACAGTTTTCTTTGATTTGGTTTCCCTCTATAGCAGGGGTAGGGAACCTTCGGCCCTCCAGGTGTGGTGGACTTCAACTCCCACAATTCCTTGAGGCTCGGCATTCGCCCCAAAGGCTTACACGAGCCTCAAGGAATTGTGGGAGTTGAAGTCCACCACACCTGGAGGGCCGAAGGTTCCCTACCCCTGATCTAGGAACTCGAGATCGTCTGTTAAATTGAGTTTCTATCTATTGGAAACATTGTTTTCTGTGCTGAGTAAGCCTGTGCGTGTCAACACTTCAGTCACAGTCAGAAGGAGGATGCTCTGTTACTGGGACAGAGCTGCTAAAGGAGAGTAACATCCCAAGTCCTGAATGCAATGTATAATAAATTTCTGTGATGTGTTGAGGCTCATGACTCATTCCCCCATTGACTGATGTTTGTCTTTTGTCACCTCCTTGAACTCCACCAGCAAATGTGCACCTGAACCCACTCACAGCTCATCCCCGACTCATCTTGTCTGAAGACTGTAAGAGCGTAGCATGGGTAGAGAAACCCCAAGATCTGCCTGAGAACCCTGCGAGATTTGACCGACGTTCTTTCGTGCTGGGATGTGAAGGATTCACAACAGGCAGACATTATTGGGAAGTGTTTGTGAAAGGTGAGGGGATATGGGCTGTGGGAGTGGTCAGAAAATCTGTGAAGAGAAAAGGACTTGTGGAGTTTAGTCCTGAAGAAGGTATTTGGGCCGTGGGGAAGTGGAATAATGAGTATAGGGTTGTAAGGACTCCTGAGAACCCCCTTCTGCACCTGAGAAGAGAGCCCTCAAAGATCCGAGTGAGTCTGAATTGCACTGGAGAGCGTGTAGCCTTTTTTGATGCCGATACTGGAGATTTCCTTTATGCATTCTCTGCAACCCCATTCTCTGGAGAAACCCTTCATCCTTACTTTTATGTGATAAGAAAAGCTGAGCTCCATATCTCCTCTTAAGATGCATAGTTTGAAAAAAGAGGAGTTATTTTGATCCAGTTCCTAGCATTTTTGCAAATTTTAGCAGATAGTTCTCTTCAGATCTGTTCTTTTGGGCTCTTGGTAGCAATTGGTTGAATCTGGATTAGTTTGTCAGGTTTTCAAAACAAATAAGGGACAGCCAAATTCCATGATATGCAGGGGTTGACAACTAGAAAGTACCCATTAGTACGTTTGTGTTCTGATTTTGTATCAAATAATAATAATAATGAAGAGAAACAACTGGAAAAGCTAGTACGATACGAGGATTTAAAGTTCGAACTGCAAAGACTCTGGCACAAGCCAGTGAAGGTGGTCCCAGTGGTGATCGGCACACTGGGTGCAGTGCCTAAAGACCTTGGCCTGCACTTAAACACAATTGGTGTTGACAAAATTACCATCTGTCAGCTGCAGAAGGCCACCTTACTGGGATCTGCATGCCCTATTCACCAATACATCACACAGTCCTAGACACTTGGGAAGTGTCCAATGTGTGATCTAATACAATAACCAGCAGAGTGATCTTGTCTCTGTGGACTGATCTTGTTGTGTTTCAAATAATAATAATAATAATTGTTATTATTACTATTATTATTTACAGCATTTATATTGAACTCTTTCCACCCCGAAGGGGACTCAGGGCGGATCACAGAACACATACACGGCAAACATTCAATGCCATTAAACAGTCAGGACAAGCAACAGATAGAGGTATTATGTCGGCATTTTGTTGAGAAATTGAGATAAATCGCCTTCCTTATCTCGGCTGCTTAGACCTTCCAAGTTCTACTTGAAAGGCATGAAGTGGTAAAAACACCGCACTCCTTAATTCAGCTTTCACCGAAAGTGGCACCTTACGCAAATATACATTCCATTCTCGGATCATGTCCGATCACATCTTTGCAAGCTGCATGGAGCACATTGAAATGTCACAGCTCCTTTCCATTCTGCACAAGAAACTCCAAAAGTCACTCTACCAATTCTCCACATCTCTATTGTTTTAACCCATTTATTACCGAATCCATCCAGTTTAAACTATAAGCAGTTTTCACAACAGATGACATTACATACTGACACATTTTTCCCAACAATGACGTCCTGGAGGTTGGGCTCGATTCTGGTCACAGAGGGTGCTATCGCTCCATCCTCTATGACGAAGAGCCTTGATCACGGACTTCCTCCTTCCTTTGATCATTGGCATTTTCTGGCATTTCTTTTATGGTGCCATAAAATACCTCCCTGCTTAAGCGGTGCCTAATTTCTCTACTCACTGCTTAGACTGACAGTAAGCTGGGCTGAAGGTCAGGTGCTCACCCTGACCCGGGTTTCAAACTGCCAGCCTTCTGATTGGTAAGATCTATTGGCTGCTGGTGATTAACCAACTATGCTAAAGCCCGGCTGTGCTAAATCAAGTATTGATTTCAGTTCACTTAACTATATTTTTCTCTGTGAAATTACTGTCCACATTCATGAAATTATGTGATGTGTACACATTTCTGTCTTTATGAAGGAAAGGCAGTTGAATCCATAGATGGGGAATCTGTGGCTAGAGGGGCCGACTATATTTTTATTACATAGTCGTCAGTGTTCCGTAGTCTTTACACAATTTGGCTCTCCAGATTTTATTGAACAACAACTCCCATCACTTCTGATTACCTACCATATGGACTGTGGGTAATAGGAACAGCAACCCATAAGAACTTGTGGCTCTGAGGCTAGGGAAAGATTAAAGAAAATTTTAAAGTCAAGCATCATATCCACAAACTTTGTATCTAAATTCAAATCTCACTATCTTGACTAAACAGAACAAACCGCAGCCTTCCAGATGTTCCTGTATCACAACTCCAATCAGCTCTAGTGATGATGTGTAATGATGAGGAATACATAAGTTGTAGTCTAGCATCTGGAAGGCCACATATGGCATGGTGGGTTTGATTTGGCCCATGGACAAGGGGTATGTTATAATCCTATTTGCACTGCAGGTCTTCCAAAGTTTCTTTTTAAACATAATTGTATGGTTACTGTTGTGCTTACATGGCTTTAAGGGCATTTCCCCCTCTCTGTAAAGCACAGCTGAACTACATTCACCATTTGCAGATTTTATAGTTTTACATTTTACTATATATATAGTAAGTGTAGCGGTTTCAGTGTTGGTGTAGGACTCAGAGGTTCAAATCCCTCCTCAGCTATGGAAGTGGCAATGTGAACTTTGTGCACTACTTCAGCCTAAGAGAAGAGGAAAGTAGTGCTAAAACTCTGGAGAAACCTTCCCAAGAAAACTAATTCAAATTCCCCATCTCCCTGCCCTCAGCTATGCCAAGACAGATGTACCAGATACAGGCATGTAGCCGGCCCCCCCCCGAAATTATCATGGTGGTTCGCAAAAAGACCTTACTGGTGCATTATTTAAACTGTTATGTTTATTCATATCATGATCTGATCACCATACTCAATATATCCCATATGCATGGGGGTATTGGGGTAATGATACAAAAGGTTTGCTAGGCTAGACCCTCTTTCACTCAGACTCAGCCCCCCCCCCGAAACTCAGCCCCCCCGAACCCCCCCTGAAAAAAATTCAGCCCCCCCCCCGAAACGAAATCCTGGCTACGGTCCTGACCAGATACAATGCCCAGAGCTTGTGAAGCAACACTGATTTTAACTTAGACTCTGTTCTAAGCTAAATCCTTAGTCTCCTATGTGATACAGAGTTTTAAAAAAAACCTTTTCATTCAAGAACCAAAATTCTTCCATCTTATTCTACAACTGTCCCCTTTCATATAAAGCACAAGAGGAAAATGTCCTGGGATCTGTGTTAACAGCAGCCTAATTCACTTCTTGTCTGTCTTTACACATAAACTGTTCACATGCTGTATAGAATCATTCTGTATAGCAATTAAAGACTGTATGACTGAACCATGCGCCTTTGTTTTGTTTTCTTTGACGAGACTGTACATTTTAATGTTAAAACCAGTCTTTATACTCACATGTGGAGTGTTGTATAAGATCACTGTACCCCCCCAAAAAAGCTCATTTTGCCTGATAAATTGCCCCACTTGTCTTCACCAAGTAATAGTTTTGACTGCTTGTTCCTGAAATGGTGGTGATCATTTCATCAAAGTTTAGTTACATTTCCAAGCTGATTCAAAGTCTGTCCCCCACTCCATTATGTCTCCACAGGATGATATTCAATAGGTTTAATATTTCAGATTTGACCCAACAAAATCAGTTGGAGTAAATGAGACTGTTGGTACTAAAAGAAAAGGATCCTGATGTTTAACAAGAATATTGTTAAAGCATTATATTAGTACATTTGCACTGACCAGTGAATGTGGAAGGACTCTGGATCGGCTCTGTGGTGGCCAAATACTTCACACAGCTAATCCAAAGGAACATGGAGCACATTAGGAAGAATGTCCTATGTGTGAGAGCTGATCAGAAGTGGAACTCTCTGCCCCAGATTGTGGTGGAAGCTCCTTCTTTGGAGGCATTTAAGCCAGAGGCTGGATGGCCATCTGCCAGGAGTGCTTTGAATGCGATTTTCCTGCTTCTTGGCAGGGGGTTGGACTGGGTCGCCCACAAGGTCTCTTCCAACTCTGATTCTAAGTCCACCTTAATGCGCCTTGTCCTGCATTAACAAAAGTTGGGGGATAATCTGAATTCTGATCTGGAATCTGGAGTATCCCCAACTTTAGGCCCATGTAAACAGTTGGGCTAAACCAGCCACAATTGATTTCACTGCTCAGGCATCCGGGAGACACAGGATGGTGCTTACTGTCCCCTCTTCTTCTCCAGGTTGCAGTAGTCTCCAGCCATGACATGGTCCAACCAGTCAGCCATTGCCTGCAATGGCAGAGGCCAGTGTGATAGGGCAATTAAGGAGGAGAGGAGGGAGAATCCCTTCTTTCCCCTCTATCCTGTCCTAGCGTCCCTTTCTGATGCCATGGCAGGTGATAGCCGACAAGAAATTGCCATGACATGGAGACTGGGAGGGGACTGGAAGAGTGGCCTCTCGAAAGTGCCAAGCCACGTTAGGCACAGCTGGGAGGTCAGGACATCCTCCTGCCACCCAGTGGTTGGGCTTGTGTGTAGCTGGGTCTATTTGTGCTAAGGCCAATCCAGTGTACACCATATTGGATCAGTACTGGGGTAACAGGTCAGTTTAGATCCACCCTAGGGAAATGTATTTCAATGTTGCATGAGAATGTGGCCCATGATTAAAAGGAGGGTAAAAGACATAAGGGCAGGAACAAAGCAAAACAGAATTTTTCAAACATAGGTACTGGATGCAAGCACAACCGTGGGAAATTACTGATGGTTTTCTTTTTAACAATTTCGATGTATCCCTTGGAGGGCCACTATGCACTTTTTAAAAAGGTTACAAAGCACCCTTGCACCGGTTTAATACCAGAAAACTTTTCAACTGTCAAGAGTTGGATTTTAATCTTACATCTGGGTTTTGGGAAGCATTTTGACAGCTTGTGAGCTTATCCCCGGAACAAAATGATTTTCCACATCAAAAACAACAGTACCTTTGACTTACAAAGACTCCCAAAATTATATGGTGTTATATCATCACTCTGAAAAAAGGATTACTGAAAATGGTGGTAGAATATATAATCCAAACATAAATGGAATCCATCCCTTACAGAAAATTAAATCTGGCATTCTTTCACTTCTATTTGCAGCACAGGATGGGACATAATTGTCATCGTCTTCTTTTTTTTTTTAATACATATATTCATTTTCACATAATTTCATTTATCACCAGTAATTCAGGAAAAAATAAACAAAAATGGATAAATGAATCTAACAATATTAAAGTAAAACATTGAACGCGAACTACTACACAAACAATGACACTCCTATCCAAGCTCCAATGAAAGAAAGCAAGACAAAGTCCTACAGATCCAAATCAACAATCTTATTAAAATTGCTAGCAACCATAGCCACAAATTATTACAGTGTTTGATTCCTTTTTTGTTAAAAATTGCATCAATGGTTTCCAGTCTTTCGCAGCATCTTCCATTGGTTTATCCTTGTAAATCCATGTTTGTTTCCTTTGTATCTCAGTACTTGATGGTCTCCCTAATATGCTTCTTTTTGTTTCTTCCTTACATAAACTGGTGGTTGTTCAGTGAGAAAATACAAACAGGTTCTTGAGGGTTGTTGTACCCTGTCTAATAGGTTTCAGACCAACATAATTTATGACTCTTCATATATTACTGTCTCTTAAAAATCAAGACATAGATGGAAAAGGGAACCCTAAAAGAAAGGGAATACATTTGGAATGAAACCTGTAAAGGAGTAAGTGTGAGAGACACTGAACAAACCTCAGTGGAAGCCTTTACAAAACTGGAAATGTAGACCTTAAGGAGTTTGCATCAAGGAGAGACTGTAAGGTGGGCTTTTCCATGCACACGAAAGAAGGGCAGAAGAGTCTCTCCTGCAAATGTGAGTTCAGAGAATTCAAAGAGATCGTGTCCTGTGTCAGCATTGAAAAAGACTATAATTCCTGCAGCATAGTTTAGATGCACTCTGATCTTCTGGGGCTCATGCTTGATGGTGAGGACAGACTTGTAAGGAGAGGTTAGTGCCATATAGTTACCTCCCCACTTCCCTAGAGCCCAGAATCCCCTGTGAGGGATAAGGACAAAAAAGCCCTTCCTGTCCACGTCCTTTGAAGCAACTCCCACAACCCACTCCTCCTCACTTCCCACAACGACTTCCCAGAAATGTCTGCCTGCTGTAAATCCTTCGCAGGCCATTACAATAGGATATTTGTCAAATCTCTCAGGATTGTCTGGCAGGTCTTGATAATTCTCGTTCCACGTCACACTTTTAAGGTCCTCAGAGAGGACGAGTTGAGGATGAGCTGTGTTTGGATCCAGTGTTATATTTGCTGTTGGGGAAGAGGGAAGAAAATAGAAGAAATACCATTGACTAGGGAAGGAATGCCTTAAATGCTAACTATGCAGATGCTTCTGAACCTGCAAGACTTGATCCGGATTGTTGATGGTATTGTAATGGAAGTCTTTCATTCATATGGTAGCCATAAGTCAAAATTAACTTGACGGCAGTTAACAACAACAAACACATGACCCAGGAGTCTCATTCCATATACAGGACTTCAATGCATAGACTATCAAAATAACATAACAGTTTGACGGACACTGAACATACCTTCTGAGCAATGAGACATGTTTTTGTAATTGTTGAAAATACATAATATTTTCATCATTTGTTATTTGTCCCCAAGACGGCTTTGACCTGTACTGGTGTGAGAGCTTTCAGGCCTTATCAATATTGCTACTCTCATGTCTTGCAACGCTGAGGCAGTAACTCCCTTACTAAGGTCTTTATTGCACGTGGCAGTCACACCATCAAAAATATCAGATGTATACCAGGATGAGTAATTTCAATATTGCACCTTTCTTCATTTACATAACTGCACCAATTCAGCAATCCATGCCCTCACAATTTTACTTCTGCATATCCACATAACCCCACCCACCTGCACTTTCACTTCTCCGTAATTTTAAAATTCTTTATTTTAAGGGCGAATTTGCACTTTCAGCAATGGAAAACAAAAAAGAGACAAATATAACTGTAAACTATGAAACAGAAAATAGACAGCTTGGAAATAGCAAAGTGGAGTGCGAGAGGAGGAGATCCACCCCCAATATCACCTTACGTCAGGGAAGACGCAAACCAGCAGTAGAATATCCACCTGCTACTTCCCTATATTAAACTAACGGAGCCAACAATGTCATGTGGTGGCAAAAAAAAAAAGCCAATGGGATTTTGGCCTGCACAAATAGAAGAATAGTGTTTAGATCCAGGGAAGTCATGCTACCCCTCTATTCTGCGTTGGTTAGACCACACCTGAAATCACACTGTGTCCAATTCTGGGCACCACAATTGGAGATGTTGGCAAGCCAAAATGTGTCCAGAGGAGGGCGACTTAGATCTGGAGAACAAGCCCTATAAGGAGCATCTTAAAGAGTTGGGCATGCTTAGCCTTCAGAAGAGAAGGCTGAGAGGAGACATGATGATGGCCATGTATAAATCTGTGAGGGGAAGTCAAAGGGAGGAGGGGCAAGCTTGTTTTCTGCTGCTCTGGAGACTAGGACACGGAACTATGGCTTCAAATGACAATAAAGGAGATTCCACCTGAACATTAGGAAGAACTTCCTGACTATGAGAGCTGTTCAGCAGTGGAACTCTCTGCCCCGGAGTGTGGTGGAGGCTCCTTCCTTGTAGGCTTCTGAACAGAGGCTGGATAGCCATCTGTCGGGGGTACTTTGAATGTGATTTTCCTGCTTCTTGGCTGGGGGTTGGACTGGATGGCCCACGAGGTCTCTTCCAACTCAATTAATCTATGATTCTATGAATTATTGCCTGCCCCATGCAATAGTTAGTTTAGGATTTTGACAATTTTTTTTAAAAAAACAAAAATCTCGTAAAATTGGTAAACTGACATAGAAATCTGAAAAATATATTCTAAGTCTTATCTGAGCAAGGAAAAGAGAGAAGGAAACAAGAACAGGGCTAGGGAAAGATGCTTTCATGCTTCCAAGACATAGCTCTGTCTGAAATGGAATGCCTAGATGGCCAGGGGAGCAAAGATCTGCCATCATGTTGCATTCCCCTTATAGTCTAGATTAGAGTATTAGTACAGATTCATGGCCTCGGTCTGTATCAGATGAAGATAGTAACCACATCAGAAGAAACCCAATTGAGAGCCCTTCCACACAGCCATATAACCCAGAATATCAAGGCAGAAAATCCCACAATATGTGCTTTGAACTGGGTTATCTGAGTCCACACTGCCACATAATCCAGTTCAATTTGGATTTTTTATAGCTATGTGGAAGGGGCCAGGGTTTCCGACCAGTCTCCACTTCTCCTTAGCATTTGATCCTGTTAAGGAAACTCACCTTGCTGCTCCTGCTCTCCGGACAAGAGTGAATCTGTGAAGCAAAAAGGTGCAACATTTGAGCATCACACACCACGTTTGTGTTACAAATGTGCAATCTATTTTTGCAACTATCCTCTTGTTACCTTTGAAATCTGCTATGAGACCCTTCAAGAAGTGATTTGTACTACAGACAGTCCAGCTCTTCCACTTAAGCGCTAGAGGAAATGAAAATTTGAGATTTCTACATGTCTGCCTCCCTTCAATCCTGGTGAAGAGAAGCAATATATTAGGTTACCATATATTCACATGCAGATGTTCTCAGTGGAGATAAAGAAAAATTGTAAATAACAACAACAACAACAACAACAACAACACTTTATTTATATTCCGCTCTATCTCTGAACTGAAGTTCAACAGTGACAAATGCAAGATACTCCACTTTGGCAGAAAAAACGAAATGCAAAGATACAAAATGGGGGACGCCTGGCTTGAGAGCAGTACGTGTGAAAAAGATCTTGGAGTCCTCGTGGACAACAAGTTAAACATGAGCCAACAATGTGATGTGGCGGCAAAAAAAGCCAATGGGATTTTGGCCTGCATCAATAGGAGCATAGTGTCTAGATCTAAGGAAGCCATGCTAGCCCTCTATTCTGCCTTGGTTAGACCACACCTGGAATATTGTGTCCAATTCTGGGCACCACAATTCAAGAGAGATATTGACAAGCTGGAATGTTTCCAGAGGAGGGCGACTAAAATGATCAAGGGTCTGGAGAACAAGCCCTATGAGGAGCAGCTTAAGGAGCTGGGCATGTTTAGCCTGAAGAAGAGAAGGCTGAGAGGAGATATGATAGCCATGTATAAATATGTGAGAGGAAGCCACAGGGAGAAGGGAGCAAGCTTGTTTTCTGCTTCCTTGGAGACTAGGACACGGAACAATGGCTTCAAACTACAAGAGAGGAGATTCCATCTGAACATGAGGAAGAACTTCCTGACTGTGAGAGCCTTTCAGCAGTGGAACTCTCTGCCCCGGAGTGTGGTGGAGGCTCCTTCTTTGGAAGCTTTTAAACAGAGGCTGGATGGCCATCTGTCAGGGGTGATTTGAATGCAATATTCCTGCTTCTTGGCAGAATGGGGTTGGACTGGATGGCCCATGAGGTCTCTTCCAACTCCTTGATTCTTTGATTCGATGATCCCCGAGGGGATTCAGAGCGGATTACAATATACACAGGGAAACATTCAATGCCTTTGATAAACTGAAATAACAATTGCACACAATTACACAGAACAAAGGTAAAGGCTTCCCCTTTCATCTCCGGCTTCTGGAGGCGGTGTTCAACTCTGGCCATGCAGATGGCATGCATAATGGGAATGGCAAGAATAAAATATAATGGGGTGATGTTACAGAAAGAAGGTAGATTTCAACTGAAGATTAGAAGGGTGTTCTTGAGAGTGAGGTAGTTTGGCAATGGGACCAACTGTATGGTGAGAGGGTCTTCATCGTAGCTTAATTAGCTACAAACTGACAAACATAAAGCAGTGAATCTTAAATTACTTAACAGAGATAGGAGCTCTGTAACTGTAGATCAGCTGTGACCAGCAGTGCTACAGAATTCAAAGAGGCATGAATGGAGAGCAAAAGGGAGAATGTGCCAAGAGGAAGGCACATCAAGCCAATCCTGACTGGGACCGCCTTCCACCTGGAAACCAATGTCCTCACTGTGGGCTAACATGTGGGTCAAGAATAGGGCTCCACAGCTACCTACGGATCCACTGCCGAGACTATTATTGTTGTTGTTATTATTATTATTATTATTATTATTATTATTATTATTATTATTTCAGACATTTATATCCCATCCTTCTCACCCCCGGAGGGGGACTCAGGGCGGCTTACAACCGGCAACCATTAGATGCCAACAACAACAATAAAAACATAGTTAAACATTAATTAAAACCTCATAAGTTAAAAAGACCATTTAAAAGAGACAAGTCCAAATCCAGAGTCATAATCCAAAATCTGTCAATCACTACACTTGAAGGAACATTGTCCTCGGGCTATAAGGGATCACCTAAGTAAGTAAGTAAGTAAGTAAGTAAGTAAGTAAGTAAGTAACAGAGACAGGGATGGGGAAACCATACAATCTCAGCCTTCCAAAATGTGTCCCTATTATAATCTATGAAATACGTGCATTTATGAAATCCTGTACTCCCCCCAGTACCCTTTCTGAGTTGCAGCTTTTTCATGCAATATCTAATCATAGGTCTAAATGTGGGATTTACTTACCTTTGCATGATCCTTTGAACACCCTACAGAAAAAAAGCAGAGAAAGAAAAGACAGTTCAGTGAATACCACAGGCCATAGTCTGAAGACTGTATTTCCTCTAGTCAGTTCATATGCAGCTGAACAAACCAAGTGCACAAACACACCCTTGATGACTGGAGCTTCTCAAAGTGAGCTACTCCAAGTGAGGGATGATGAATTTCTTGGTTTCTTGTGTAGAAAATCTGTGGATGAGTTAAAAGTAGAACCATTCCAGCTCCAGAAGAGAAGGGGATTATGGAAAATGGGAAATGTTTAGCTTGGAGAAGAGAAGGTTAAGAGTGGACACAATAGCCATGCTTACTGAAAGGATATCATATTGAGGATGGAGCCAGCTTTTTTTCTGCTGATCTAGAGAATAGGACAAGGAGCAGCAGATTCAAATTATAGGAAAAGGGATTCCACATAAACATAAAGAAAAGCTTCATTATAATAAGAGCTGGATGACTGTAGAATATGCTACTTTGGGATGTAGAGGTTTTTAAACAGAGACTGTCAGGAGTGCTTGAATTGTATAGTTCGGCATGACAGAATGGGTTTTGCCTGGATAGCTCTTATTGCCCCTTTCAAGTCTATGATTATATACAATTGTTACCTTCCCGATGGAGTGATACCTATTGATCTACTCACATTTGCATGTTTTCAAACTGCTAGGTTGGCAGAAGCTGGGACTAACAGTGGGAGCTCATCCCACTCCCCCAAAGCAGCTTACAGTCTTCTTAATGTTTAGGTGAAATCTATTATATTGAAATTTATATCCACTGGTTTAAATTCTGGTCTCTGGACATCATGTCTCATCTCATTCTTCTCTTCTCCAAGCCAAAACAAACCCAGCTCCCAAAGCTGTTCATTACTGGGATTTGTTTCCAGATTTTTATTACCATCTGGACCCTATTTAACTTGTCATTGGCTTCTTGATTTTGCTATAATCCTACCTGCAGAAATTCAATGGTAGGCAGTTGCTGCTGCTCCTCCAACTCCTGGATGAAACCTTCAATATAAGAGAGTTCTTCCAATACTCTAGACAAGTGTGCATCGATTGTCATTTGAAACTCCTTCATCACATCTTCTATCTCGGTCAGGAAAAACTTCTCTTGTTCCTTTAGAAATTGCTGTAGTTCTGCAAACGTGGCAACTGTGCTTTGCTCTTCTGCTTTCATAAAATTCTGCTAACCAAGAGATCATCAACAGGAAATGAACGATCAATTCTTGCAACATTCAGTGGGAAAGTACTCTAGGAAAGGCATATCTGACTTTGAAGTGACCTTTTGGGAATTCCAGTTTTCACAATGAGAAAGGTATACGTTGTACTTTTCTACTTTCAAGATCCTGGTGCCATGGCCTCTGATCACATGAATGTACTCATGCATTTTCTGAATATGCCTGTCTAGAGAGGATCTTGGGACATTGGCAAAAAGTATCTCTTAGGCGACGTGGAATCAAAAAATCACAATCGCACAGAGCTCACTAAAATGGGAATGTTGGTGAACACACACCAATCCAGTACAAAATTAACTTTTTTAACTAATTAATTTATTAATTAATTTCTTCATACTGATAACAAAACAATACAATACGAATGCATTGTCAAAGGCTTTCATGGCCGGAATCACTGGGTTGTTATAGGTTTTTTCGGGCTATATGGCCATGGTCTAGAGGCATTCTCTCCTGACGTTTCGCCTGCATCTATGGCAAGCATCCTCAGAGGTAGTGAGGTCAGACCTCACTACCTCTGAGGATGTTTGCCATAGATGCAGGCGAAATGTCAGGAGAGAATGCCTCTAGACCATGGCCATATAGCCCAAAAAACCCTACAACAACCCAATACAATACGAACCTTAGCCATCTAAAAGATAACATCAAAAACTGTTTACAATTTTATGGCTAGGATACAGGTTCCAATTGTGCTTCCCTTTACCGTATATCTTGATTGCTAACCCCTCTAAACCCTCCCTCCCATCCCCATCCGGGTTACCTGAATCAATACACAATTAACTGGGAAATAGCAAAATGAGATAGGCATGGTTCCCCACCCCAATCTCTTTCAATGAAGGGATTGATGATTCTTTTTTTATTTGCTTATTGCATTTGTATGCTGCCTTTCTCCCAGAGTAGGATCCAAAGTGGCTTCCAAAACAATTAAAAAATACTTACAAGGAAATCAATTTCATGTGCTTTTAAATCAATTAAAAGCACATAAAACTGGGTAAAACATTTTTAAAAACATACACAGGTTCAAAAAGTGAATATATATGATAGATCATGGCAGAGTATTGTTTGTACAAATTTGGCATCTTAGACTAAAGCTTACAGTCAGAAATTGCCTCTCTTCTACGTCTGCTTGACGCCGCAGAATAATCTCTTTCTCCTTTCTCATGTCCTCCAAGCACTTATAGATCTGATCCTGAAAAAAGGAAAAATAATTCTGGTGAATTTATAAGAGAGAAAGTGAGAAGTTCAACCATATGTTTCTTTCATGGCCCATGAGGTCTCTTCCAACTCTTAGATTCTATGATTCATGTCCCATTTACCAATCCTATTTTTCAGGAAGTAATGGAGGGCCAGCGCCAGTAATACCATATTCATTGACATGTGTGGTGGAGGCTCCTTCTTTGGAGGCTTTTAAACAGAGGCTGGATGGCCATCTGTTGGAGGTGTTTTGAATGCAATTTTCCTGCTTCTTGACAGGGAGTTGGACGGGATGGCCCATAAGGTCTCATCTATAACACTAGCGGGGCTCTCAAAATGGATTTCATGTACATCAGGTTGCACAGTAGGGTTGTGCGCAGAACCATTTTCCTTCGGTACATCCGTTCTTTCGGTACTTTCGTTACCTTTGGGAGCACGTAATGGGAAGGCCCCTTGCAGTACGAAAATCAGCTCAACACGAAAACAAGTGGGAGCCAATCCCAACTCCTCTTCTGCTTTTTGTGAGCACCTGGTGCTCCGAGCCTCCTTGCCTTCGAAAGAGTGAGTGTGTGGCATACAGGCTCAGAAATCACGTGTGTCTGCCTACAGCCGAGCACCTCCTCTAGAGTAAGAAAGTCAGAACTTGCCTCCTTGCCTTGGAAAGAGTGTGTGTGTGTGGCGTGCAGGCCTGGGAGCAAAAGCACGTGCACGTTCCTACAGCTGAGTGTCTCTCCTCTAGAGTAGAAACATGCAAGAAGCCTCCTTAAAACATGTGCTCTCCTGTAGAGTAAAACAGCTTAAATGCCTAAAATGATGAGAAGGGGAGCCTGGGAAGCCTCCCCCCAAATGGGCTGATAGAAAACGCATATTTTGGCACCCCAGAGTGAAAACAGATACCTGCTGTCCCGATTTTGAGAGGCTCCCAAAAAATGGATCCAGGCCCCCATTGAAAGCCAGGACATGAAACGGGTCAAGGTTTACCCCCAAATGCACGTGCCTATTGCTTACAAAGATTAATCATCCTTTATTTGGACTTCTAAAATCCAAACTTCACAATTGTCCACATGGGCGTGGCATATGTATATGCACACACACATTTATTGGGGCTTCATGAGGAACTTTTGCTTCAGGAAGGACTCTGCGGCTGAAAAAAAAATGGAGAACTGTGTCTTGACGTTCTTTTATTTCTGTTGCTCTGGTTGGTTAGGCTGATTTCAAAGAATTGATCTTATGTTTTGCATTGATGCAGAGTATCTAAATGAGAGGTTTTGAGCAGTCCAGGACTATTTTTTATCCTTCATAGGCCAACATTTATTTTGCTTCCGAATAGCTTTCGGATACCTGGGGGGGGGGGTCATTTTTGTGATGTCCTGCCCTTTTCTTTGGCCCTCTTAGGCCTGGGAAAGGATTGTTTTAAAAGTGACCTCCAAAACTAAAATAGTCCAGAGAAGCTGAAAAAATGGTGAAATATCCCACCAACGACATCAAGGAGATGTTGGACAAAACATTTTGAGGTTTTGTTGTTTTCTGTGTGGGAAAGCATGGAATAGATACAAACCCAAGGTCTCCTAGGTAGCTAGTGTGTGCCTCATAGCTGTTCACAGTTGCACACTGTTGTCCTATATTTGTTACACACACATACATGTATATAAAAAAACAAGAAAGATATACAATCACAATCATGTCTTACTTTGTACTCTTCAGCAGCCTCCTCCACTGGAATCACATTGTGATCTCGGTGCTCCTTGGACTTGTCGCACACCACACAGATGGGAGTTTGGTCCTCTTTGCAGAAAAACTTCTGGGGCTCCTGGTGCTTCTCACAGACTCCCCCCTCAACTTCACCCCTCTTGGCTCCTTGATTTTCGAGTTGCTTTGTGATGTCTACAAAGCTTGCCAGCAGCCGATTGCGCCTAAGGCTTCCTCTCTGAACTTTTTCCCTGCATTGGGGACAGGCAACTTCTTTGTCTGAATTCCCCCAGTGTAGATCAAGACAGCCTTGGCAAAAATTGTGCCCACACTCTGTGGTCACTGGTTTGTCAAAATAATCCAGGCAGATTGAGCAAGTGGCTTCCTCACAGAGTTTCTGGAGGGGATCGTGAGGAGCAGCAGCCATGGTTCCTTCAAGTAGAAGAAGACAGAAAGAGGAAAAACAGGGCTAGTTTCACTTCCTTGGCTTCCAGTAACTTATTTACGTACAAGTGGCTCAGGTTAGGTAGTTATGGTCATAAACTCATCATTATGAAAGAGCTGGAATAAGCTTTGTAAAACTTGGTACAGTACAGTTTCATTATCTGGTTGGAGGCCACTAGGGGGTGCTAGAGACAGACGGATACTCCATTTTATGGGGGTGATGGGTGGGTTGAAAGAGTAAAAACATTTTCTCTTGTTTTCCTCTTATCCCCCCCCCCCCATGTCCCTGTTGTTGAAACAATAGTTTATGGGAAGTGGGGAGGGGAGATAACCAACAAAAATGGGGAAACGTTTTTCCTCCTTCAAATCCCATCCCCCTTGCCCCAGTAAAATGGACTATCCTTCGATCTCTAGCACCACCTTGTGGCCTCCATCCAGATAATGGTACAGTACCCTTGGGATTAAAGGAACTGATAGCATCCCCTTTCTTACAAAAAAAAAAAAGGGACCGTTGTAACATTTGCTTTCTCTATGTAATTGCTACCCCAGTGTCATCTGGATCCCTATCTCTACAGCAGTGTTTCTCAATCTGGGGGTCAGGACCTCTGGGGGGGGGGGTCATGAGGGGGTGTCAGAGGAGTTGCCAAAGACCATCAGGAAACACAGTATTTTCTAATGGTCATGGGGGTTCTGTGTGGGAAATTTGGCTCAATTCTATTGTTGGTGGGGTTCAGAATGCTCTTTGATTGTAGGTGAACTATAAATCTCAGCAACTACAACTCCCAAATATTAAGGTCTATTTTCCCCCAAACTCCACCAGTGTTCACATTTGAGCATATTGAGTATTCGTGCCCAGTTTCGTCCAGATCCATCATTGTCTGAGTCCACGATGCTCTCTGGATACAACTCCAAAACTCAAGGTCAATGCTCACCAAACCCTTCCAGCATTTTCCGTTGGTTATGGGAGGTCTGTGTGCCAAGTTTGGTTCGATTCTATTGTTGGTGGTGTTCGGAATGCTCTTTGATTGTAGGTGAACTATAAATCCCAGCAACTACAATCCCAAATGACAAAATCAATCTCCCACCGACAAACCCACCAGTATTCAAATTTGGGCATATTGGGTATTTGTGCCAAATTTGGTCCAGTGAATGAAAATACATCCTGCATATCGGATATTTACATTACGATTCATAACAGCAGCAAAAGGACAGTTATGAAAATAAAGTAATGGTTGGGGGTCACCACAACATGAGGAACCACTGCATTAAGGGGTCACGGCATTAGGAAGGTTGGGAACCACTGGTGTAGATCAGGGGTCCTCAAACTATGGCCCAGGGGCTGGATACAGCCCTCCAAGGTCATTTACCCGGCCCTCGCTCAGGGTCAACCTAAGTCTGAAATGATTTGAAAGCACACAACAACAACAACAACTACAACTACAACAACAATCCTATCTCATCAGCCAAAAGCAGGTCCACACTTCCCATTGAAATACTAATATGTTTATAATTGTTTAAATTGTTGTTCATTTTAATTATTGTATTGTTTTTAAGTGGGTTTTTTTTTTGCACTACAAATAAGATACATGCAGTGTACATAGGAATTCATTCAAAAAAATTTCAAATTATAATCCGGCCCTCCAACAGTTTGAGGGACTGTGACCTGGCCCTCTGTTTAAAAAGTTTGAGGACCTCTGGTGTAGATGCACCTGTGTCTTTCTATCACAGAATGGAGTTTCTCTACTAAAATGTTTAGTTTCTCTAAGCCACCTGTATCTTCACTCCTAAATCAGGATTTCTAACTACAGCACCTACTCTCTACTATGACATTACACAGAGTCCAAAATCTATTTCACTTTTGTTTTGCAAGGCTGGGTCTGTTTGAGAAGTGAATCATTTACCCAAAATAGAAAGGCCTAGCCTCTGAAAGCCAAGAAAGTGAAACCAATTCTGGCTTCCTTGAAGCAGCTATGGAGGCAGCTTTGGGAGATCCTGTTCAGGAGCTCTGTGAGGAATCCACTTGCTCAGTCTGCCTGGATTATTTCAGGGATCCAGTGACCATAGAATGTGGGCACAACTTCTGCCGGGGGTGCATCGCTCAGTTCTCGGGAGAATCGGACCAGGTGCCCACCTGCCCTCAATGCAGAAAACCTTTCCTGCAGAAGAACTTTGTGTCAAATAAACAGCTGGCAAATTTTGTAGAAATAACTAAGAAACTCACGCCTTTAGTGGGAAAGGGGGCACCGGCCACAGAGATCGCCTGTAAGAAGCACCAGGAGCCCTTAAAGCTTTTCTGTAAGGATGATGAAATCCCTATCTGTGTGGTTTGTGACCGATCCCAAGCACACAGAAATCATGCCGTGGTTCCTGCCGAGGAGGCTGCCCAGGAGTACAAGGTAGGAAGTACATCTGGCATCTTGAAGAGAAGGGAATTGGAATAGTTTGGCATTCTTCTTTAGGTTTTGCTTAGCATTTTGTTATGGAGTTCTGACTGTAGAAGTCCAATATAGACCGTCACTAACTCACTTAAATCCATGCAATATTTAATGTAAATGTTACAGAAAAGGATGTTTGGCTCCATCTACACTACAGAACTGTGCAGTTCACTATCATTTGGATTGCCATGGCTCAATGCTGTGAAATCTTGGGATTTGTAGTCTGGTGAGGCACTTGGGGCCCATTGGCCAAAGAACATGTATACCAGCTGTTACGAATTGTGGGAGTTGAAGTTCGAAACACCTAGAGGGCAGAAGTTTGCCCATGCCTGCTCTAAGGCCAAGGTCATGACAGTTGGAGGGACTTTCATTTGCATCTGGGTCTAGGCATATAATAATATTATTAATAAACTATCCGTCCCCTCCCACGCATTGCTGTGGCCCACTCTGGTGGTCATGGGGGTTCTGTGTGGGAGATTTGGCCCAGTTCTATAGTTGGTGGGGTTCAGAATGCTCTGTGATTGTAGGTGAACTATAATTCCCAGCAAGTACAACTCCCTAATGACAAAATCAATTTTTTGAGTGAAGAACATACATTGGGTAGTTAGGTGTCTTGTGTCCAAATTTGGTGTCAATTCCCCTAGTGGTTTTTGAGTTCTGTTAATCCCACAAACAGGCATTACATTTTTATTTATATAGATAATAATAATAACAATTATTATTATTATTAATATTAATATTTATTACATGCTTCTCCTAATGACTCAAGGCAGGATAGAACAAATTCAAAAACATATGAGCATAAAAATACAATAAATTACATAGATACAAACACTATATGTGTGTGTATGTGTATGTGTGTGTACACACACACTGTATCATAAATGGATGGTATCCTTGAAGTGTCTGACTTAAAAAAAAATTAAGATTTTATTTACATACAATAACAACTTACAGTGCGAACAAAACACAAAACAGTGAACATTTTACAAACACATAGCCCCACCACCAAGGCCTGAACAAGTATCCTTTCCTTCACCATATATTTGTAAATCAACCATTAATCGGATGTCATATCCAAATTTCCAGATCAACAGGGTTATATTGTTTTCCCTTTTTGCTCTCTAAAGCATATTTAATAAAGACCGACCAGTATGCCTCAAAATCCGATCTGTTAATTTCCCCCCTGAATACCCTCATTTCCATTGTTAGTTTATCATTTAAGGCTACGTTCCATACCTCCCTATACCATGCTTCCGGTGTTAGATTAGTTATTATTTTCCAGTTCCTTGCTATTATGATTCTTCCCAATGTGAGCAACTGACTTGACTCTGAAGGAGCTGGGGGTGGTGAAGGCCGACAGGGAGCTCTGGCGTGGGCTGGCCCATAAGGTCATGAAGAGTCAGAAGCAACTGAATGATTAAACAATAACATAACTGTATCAAATGCAGATACAGAAATGACATATCGTAGCAACAGGAAGGAGCCCCAGGTAACACAATGGATTAATCCCTTGTGCAGGCAGGACTGCTGACCGACAGGGGAGAGTGGGTGAGTGGGGAGAGTGGGTGAGCTCCCACTGTCAGCTTCAGTTCCCCATGCAGGGACATGAGAGAAACCTCCCATAGGATGGTAAAGCATCAAACATCCAGGCGGCCCCTGGGCAATGTCCTTACATGCAATCAATTTTCTCACACCAGACACGACTTGCAGTTTCTCAAGTCACTCCTGACATTAAAAAAAACAAAAAACAAATGTAAATCAAAACTCATGATTGAAAGTTGACTGGGTAGGCCCGATATACGCTGACAGTTTAAAACAATGGTTCTCAACCTGTGGGTCCACAGATGTTTTGGCCTTCAACTCCCAGAAATCCTAACAGCTGGTAAACGGGCTGGGATTTCTGGGAGTTGTAGGACAAAACACCTGGGGACCCACAGGCTGAGAATCACTGGTTTAAGACAACAGTCCTACAGCACCTGAAAGACTAATCCAGTGGTTCCCAAATGCTGGCCCTCAAGATGTTTGGGTCTTTAACTCTCAGACTTCCTGACTGTAACGGTGCAGGTTTAATCAAGTTTGATACTGCCTTATGCAATCATGGGATTTGTAGTTTGGTGAGGCATCCAGCATTATTTGATAGAGGAGGCAAAAGATCTTGCAAAACTTCAACTCTCATAATTTTATTTATTTATTTATTTATTTGGTTTACTTTTACCCCACCCTTCTTACCCCGAAGGGGACTCAGGGCGGCTTACACATCCAAGGCACAATTCGATGCCTGTAACATACAACAGCAATAAAACAAAATAGCACAATTTAACAATCAACAGCAATGCATTACATCTATACCTGCTAAAACCAATAAAACCAATAAAAAATTTCATACAAACCGATACAAACCAATTACTCCTTATTGCCGGTCAGTGTTCGCTATCTCATAGTTCAGAGTTTCCTTCCACATTTATCAGTCCTGCCGGTCCTGTTTGTCTGGTTGTCCTTACCTAGTTAGCAGATTGCCTGAAGGCCTGGTCCCACAACCATGTCTTTACCTTCTTCCTGAAAGACAGGAGTGATGTCTTTCCATAATATTGATCCCTGGCAGTTAAAGTTTTTGTTAAACCCCATTAGATCTGTAGCATAGATGCACTCTAGGCAGAGCTGGCTAGCACTCCTGGTCATTAAAGCCCTGGAGGACCAACATTTGAGGTCCATTGCACTTTTTAATTGTCACCCCACACATCATACATTTCAATTGTCCCTTATTGCTGTTTTGAAGAGAACCTGTGAGGTGTCTGGAGATGCCTGATGCAGTGTGTCAAAAGCTAAAAAAAAATTTCTGCAGCACCCCTTGATCTTCTTCAATACGGAAATTGTTATGTAGATAAATGGCATCATGGTGAGGCCTGAAAAGCTTACTTTGGAGCTACACGTAAGAGAAGGTGTAATACTCTCTCAACCAACTTCCTTAAAACAATGGGAGTTGTCCTCGAAACAAAACAAACTGTTTTGGACTGAATATATTTTTTTGTCAAGGCCTGCTTTTTGCTATGTTGGCTTTATAGATGGCCTTGAATTTTGTGACAGAAAAGGTGGCTATAAGAATTCTTCAAAAACATCAAAACGAAGCAGAACTTTGAAGAACATCATGTGCCACCTGAGCCATCGCTGCCCGTGGGCTATAGTTCTTAGTGAAAGAAACATGGACGTGGCATCTTTTCCCCAGGGGATTGCTTCTTGCCTTCCTTTAGAGAACTGGAACTCTCAAGGACCAACAAAACACTATAGATAACCCGAAATAGGCTTTATTGTTCACAAAGAGTTATCTTTCTTAGGCACTAAACTTGATGTTCCAAAAAGGGTAAAGAAAATATACATTACAGTCTCTAGAGTCTTGGGTCCAAGGAGTTTTCCAAGTTCCCTCTTTCTCAATGGCTGTGAAAGTCGGAACATTCACAACCCCAGTCCGATGACCTATATTGAAGGCACAAAGTATTCCTCTTGATGCCAAAGGACTGGTTTGAAGGCGCTTAAGATTCCTCAACATCATCCAGGTGAGCTGGGCATGAAGTATGAATCTTAAGAGTATAAACTTAAGAATTGGTGGCAAGAGATGACTTGACTAAGAGCATAGAGCCAAGCCTTTCTCAAGTCCATCTGTTAAGCTGATTGATGGTGGAATGAAAAAGAAAGCACTGCCCTCTTCCCTAGGAAGGGGTGGAGTCAAACAATTGAGCTGGGGAAGCAATTCAACCTATGCAAAACAACATTGATTGACAGCTGTACATAACCAAACAATTCAACTATATATTTACATGCAAGTGGCGCGCCGTCACATCGCCACTATTGTGCCCCTCAAAATAAATGCTCACATTAGATATATCAATCTATTTAGGAGAATAGTAGGCCAGAATACTGGTCTGTAGGAACCCAGTCCTGGAATCCTAAAACCAACCAGGTTCAAGGATCTGCCAAAATGAGATGAAATCACAAGTGGGACAAAAGGAGGTTTACTGATTGCACAACGTTGAAAGGGATGCAGCAATAAAACCTAAACCTAATGGTAGCTCATGCCCAACCTCTTCAAACAGAGTTTGGTCACACTTACTGTTCGCTGTAGTTTTTCATAGATGTCACTTCATATATTGGGTTCCTGGGCTTTACTGCAGATATGTCATGTATATTTTAAGCATTTATAGTGTGACTGCTAAAACCATCTTACACTCCTTGTCGTCCTTTCTGAAAGGAAGCAATATTTTTCTCTCTTTCCCTCTTTGTTTCCCTTAGCCAAATATGAATGTCTACTTTCTTTTTAGGATCTGATCTGTCGTCATCTGGACTTTCTGAAAAAGCAGAAAGAGAAAATGCTGGAATTTACAGCTCAAACAACAAAGGAAAGCCAAGACTTCCTTGTAAGTGCAAATATTCCTGAGAATATTACTAAGAATGACTAAAGATGAATCCACACTACACCACTTCCCACTCCTTAAAGATCATTTTATATAATAGGAGATTTCTGGCATTATATCAGCAGCAGCAGTAATCCCTTGTAGCCAAGTATGATTGTCTTATGAGGGTAAAGTCTTGGTGGTGGGTCCATAAGTGTCCATGGAGACCTGTTTTGGATACACAGAGTCTTTCACAATGAGGCTATAGATTTTCAGATGGAAGGCGGTTCCAACAAAGGTTTGCTTGATGTGCTTTCTTCTCAGCACCTTTCTCTCTTTCCCTTCCCTTGTTAAGCCCCGACCCTCCCCTGTCATGCCTGAGTGAAAATAGAATCATAGACTCATAGAGTTGGAAGAGCCTTGTGGGCCATTCAGTCCAACCCCCCACCAAGAAGCAGGAAAATCTCATCCAAAGCACCCCCGACAGATGGCCATCCAGCCTCTGCTTAAAAGCCTCCTTTTGTCTTTCCTTCCTCCTTCTCTTCCTTACCTCCCTCTTTCTCCTTCCTCCCTTTTGTCCTTCCTTCTCTCTTTCCTTCCTCCTTCCCTCCCTCTTTCTCCTTCCTTCCTTCCTTCCTTCCTTCCTTCCTTCCTTCCTTCCTTCCCTTCCCTTCCCTTCCTTCCTTCCCTTCCTCCCTTCCCTTCCCTTCCTCCTTCCCTTCCCTCCTTCCCTTCCTTCCCTTCCTTCCCTTCCTTCTTTTTCCTTTCTCCTTCCTTTCCCTTCCCTCCTTCCCTTTTGTCCTTCCTTCTCTCTTTCCTTCCCTCCTTCTTTTCCCTTCCTCTTCTCTCCTTCCCTTTCTCCCTTCCTTCCTTCTCCTTCCTTCCTTCTCTCTTCCCTTCCCTTCTTCCTTCTTTTTCCCTTTTCTCTTTCCTCTTCCTTCCCTCCCTTTTTCTTTCCTTTCTCCTTAGTATTATAGAATCATGGAATCATAGAGTTGGAAGACACCTCATGGGCCATCCAGTCCAACCCCTGCCAAGAAGCAGGAAAATTGCATTCAAAGCCCCCCTGACAGATGGCCATCCAGCCTCTGTTTAAAAGCCTCCAAAGAAGGAGCCTCCACCACTCTCTGGGGCAGAGAGTTCCACCTCTGAACAGCTCTCACAGTCAGGAAGTTCTTCCTAATGTTTAGATGGAATCTCATTCCTAACTCCCATCTGAGTAATCAAGTGACTATTGGAAGGGAAGCATATGTCCAGCCAGCTGATACTCACATCCCAATATGAAGGCATTTCCATATTTAATAAAATGTAATGCAAAATCCTTTAATGGAATATAATGTGCATAACCCAGTGAACAGAAAATCTCAGACCTTTGAAAATGGCACATGGATCAAGTTAATAATGGCAAGAGGGCCAAAGTGCATCCATATCCAGCCAGCAAGGTACCAGCATTCCCCCCCTCCCCCTTCAGTGTATGTATGTAGTTTCCCCTTCACATGTGCAGGTTTGACATTTGTGGATTTCACGATTCATGGATTTGATTAAAATGTTCTCTCTAGGCAAGTGCTACTATGGCCCAATCTGAGCAATCTTTTGATTTTTATTTCCTTGGAAATGTGAAAATAAAAATCTTTTTCCTTTCAGTAATTCTCTGAAATCTGAAATCTGATAATTCTCTCTCATTGGGAAGATTGTGTTCCACATGTAAAGCTAATTCCCATCTATTTATTGCAGAAGCTCATGAAAACAGAGATGGAGAAGACAGAGGTAAGCTTCACGCAACTATACCAGTTTTTGGAAGCTCAAAAGAAGCTTCTACTGGCCCAGATGGAAAAAGTGGTGGAGGAGATCACAAGCAAAAGGGATGCGGTCTTGAGCAGAGTTTCAAAGGAACTGTCCTCTCTTGAAACTTGTGTCCGAGAGATGGAATTAAAATGCCAGCAATCACAAATGCACCTCCTTCAGGTAAGATGCTCTCTGAATTCTTAATCTTTATGTGCCTCCCTTATTTATTTAGGAATGGAGCGGTTCAATTCTGACATACCACAAACCAGTTTTACACAAGAGTATCCAAAAGAAACAGAAATGGTGATTTTACCCAATATAGTTATCTATCAGTCTAGAACAGAGGTTCTCAAACAGAGATTCTCAAACTTCAGTCATGAAGCCCTTTTTAAGGAAAATATTTCCACAGAGCCCCCAAAATATTTATATATTATATTATATTTTTGTATTATATTATGGGCCCCCTGGTGGCATAACGGCTTAAACTGCTGAACTGCTGAACTGGCTAACTGAAAGGTTGGCTGTTTGAATCCGAGGAACTGGGTGAGCCGCCACTGTTTGGCCCAGCTTCTGCCAACCTAGCAGTTCAAAAACTTGCAAATGTGAATAGATCAATAGGTATTGCTTCGGCGGGAAGGTAACGGCGCTCCATGCAGTCATGTTGGCCACTTTCTGTCCCTGTGACAATTGTATTTTGAAAATGTATGGTTGTTGTGAAAAAAGGATTTATTTATTTATTTATTTACAATATTTATATTCCGCCCTTCTCACCCCGCAGAGGACTCAGGGCAGATTACAATGTACACATATATGGCAAATATTCAATGCCAAAGACACACAACAGATATAGACAAACAGTCAGAGGCTATTTAACCTTTTCTGGCCACCAGGGGAGCTGTCGCTTTCATCATCCATCTGCGACACTGATGAAGTACTTCCACATTCCCCGCATACTTTTGCTGGAGTGCTTTGCTGGAGTCTTTTTTATGGCCTTGTAAATTTTGTTAAATTAGCCTCCCCACAGGAAAATTAGGTGGTACCTACTTTTCCTACTTGACAGATGCAACTGTCTTTCGGGTTGCAAAGGTCGACAACAAGCTACACAATTGGTCAGAAGCTCACTCCAACCCGGGCTGGCTTCGAACTGATGACCTTGTGGTCAGAAGTGATCTTAATGCAGCTGACAGTCAGATAGGTGCGCCACAGTCCCGGTGCAGCTATCTGAGGATTGGTGATAAAGCTTTAGTGGAGATATCTTTCCCCCAAGATAACACTTCCACGAGTGAATTTCCCTTCTCAGGTGTAGATTTCCTCTCACTTCCTGTTGTCTCACCTCCGTTTGTGTAACCTGTTGATCACACTAGGGAAAAAATCCACTTAAAATTCATTTTCTGCCTCCTGCAGAATTCTGGAGTTTGTAGTTTAGGGAGGAGCCTTTAACAGCCCCACTAAACTACAAACTCCAGAATTCTGCAGGAGGCAGAAACTGGATTTTAAGTGGATTTCTTTTCTCTAGTGTGATGAAGTGGTAAGTCAGATATTTGTTACTCAGGGACTGCCTGTATACTCATGTATATATTGAGGCCAAAATTATGGATTTTGATATGACCCATGAATGAGTCAAGGGTCATTCCACGGAGAGGGGGAAAAACCCTGAAGCAACAGCACAGCACAAAGAATAGAGGGAGTTGATACTTCTCCTAGATTCTTATGTGATGGACCTTTCGCTCCCAAAGGAAGATGGTTGATCCCTTTTTCATAAGATTTAAAGTGCAGTATTTAACTTGCATTGATATGTGAATAAGTCAACCCGTTGTTTGGTTTTTTTGTGTGTGTGTTGATTTTTTGACTGAAGGTTCTAGACTATAGAACGAGTAGCCCTACCTTGTTCCTAGCACAGCTTCCATTTGCCAGAACTTCCTTCTGTAAGATACATACACGGTTTCTTTCACATGTGAAAGTTCACAACCTGGCCCCTCTTTGGCTGGCTTGTATAATGCTACAGTCCTTGAGCAGAGAGGGCTTTGTCAAAGTATCAAGTGTAGAACTTGTGTTTCCCTGTATTATGGCATGTAACAAGCACTCACTTTCATCTTCTCTTTTTCTTTTTTTCTCTAGGATGTTGGAAACATTTCTCTAAGGTAATTGGATCCATTTGTTTCTATTAATGCTACATAATGGTGAGAGGAGTGTGTATATAGCATGTGTCTCCAGAGGTGAGCAATCAAGATAGTAAAAGGTCTGAACTGGGTTGCTGTGAGTTTCCCAGGCTATATGGCCATGTTCCAGAAGCATTCCCTCCTGATGTTTCGCCTGCATCTATGGCAGGCATCCTCAGAGGTTGTGAGGTGTGTTGGAAACTAGTCAAGTGAGGTTTATATATCTGTGGAATAATGTCCAGGATAGGAGAAAGAACTCTTGTCTGCTTGAGGCAAGTGTGCCTGAGTACTCTGTCCCTATTTACAAAAGCCTTGCTTTCTATTTACATTCTCATTAACTTCTGCACCTGACAAATCATCTTCAGACAGTTCCTCTGAGAAAGACCATGGAAAGCCTCTCCCAGGAATGTGACCTTGTGAATCTTCCTGAGACAGCTCGGGCCTCTCCTGTGAGCTTAACTCAGGCCCAGGTAAACCCTCACCCCCATTGCCAACAGACCCACACCCACCATGAGGAACATCATCCGCAGTCCCATCATGAACATCAGACACAATCACAGGCCGAACAGGCTGACTTACAACAGTTCATTTCTGTCATCTCCTACCTGAGTTTGGAAATTAATGGCCACAGTTATGATGAGAAAAGCATCCCAATGAGGGCTTGTGTCTTTTTTTTCTTTTTCTTTTTTGCAATTTTCCTTTTTTGTCACTATTTTGTTCCACTCTGGAATCTTGGATTGCATGGACGCCACATTAACTTTGTTTTGTTTTTTCCCACCAGCACTAAAGAAAAGAATACATTTGAGAATCCAGTGGCTTTTCCTCCAAAACTGAAATGGAAAATTTGGGACTGCTGTGATGTAAATTCCTTTCTAGCTGGCATCACGAACCAATTCAGAGGTAGTAAGGAACCTATTTTATACAAATACCATATTAGTTCAGAAGTGAACATGATATTATCTTATTAGTATTTTTATTATTTTGTTAATTTATATTCCGCCTTTGTCCTAATAATGAGGCTTATAGTAAACTTCAGTGAAAGTATAAATATAATATGAACAGCGTGATTTAACAGTGGTGATATTGGTTTAAGTGTTTTTAAATGTTTTGATGTATTTATAATATATTTATAATCCTATTTGAAATGTCTATTTTAATTTTACATTGTTTTTAATGGCATCGAATAGTTACTTATGTTGTAAACTCACCTTGAGTTCCCTCTGGAGTTGAGAAAGGCGGGGTAGAATGTTGCAAATAAATAAATACATAAATTTTAAAATTCCTTGAAATATCAAGGAAAACCTCTCATGCTTCCAACATTTTTGCAAGCCTGCAATTGTGTGGCTCATTTGTGAATTAAAGGTGTGTTTCCATCGGGCTTTACTGAGGAGAAAAGGGTGGAAAATGCAATCTTCAGCACAACCTCTGAGGATGCCTGCCATAAATGCAGGTGAAACGTCAGGAAACGTCTGTAACATGGCCATACAGCCTGGAAAATTCACAATAACCCAGTCCTTCTGGCCATAAAAGCTTTGACAGTCTTCAGCACAATTTGTAATTTATGAGCATATGCTCATAGATTCTTTAAATTCTTTCCCCAATTGTTTCAATTCTTTTTTCCCATTTCTTTTCCATGGAATTGTTCTTGGTGTTGAGCCACAAAGACAGAAAAGAGATGTTGACTGAATCCACACTACATTGATTTCTATGGAAATCGAAGATTTGGTAGTTGGATGAGAAGTTTACCCATTTTTGTCAGAGAACACTGGTGCCACAATACACTACGAATTCACAATACCATACGAATACACTACAGATTCTATAGGATGAAGCTATGGCACTTAAAGTGATGTTAGTCTGCTATAATTCTACAGTGTAGTGGACCTGGTTGTTAAATTAGTGACCTCCACACATCTACTGCACAGCTCAATGGCAGTCATAGAAAGAGTGAAAAACTTTGAATTTTTTTCAAAAATATTGCATTATATTTCATCTACATTCCATGTTACTAGAGACATTAAATGAACAATTATATGTTTGTTACATATGTGCTATGTAAATAATGGGTATTCCAAAATCGTGGTTTAACTTACATTCCTATGTATTGTTGAAAGTTTTCATGGCTGGAATCACTGGGTTGTTTTAGGTTTTTCGGGCTATATGGCCATGTTTTAGAAGCATTCTCATCTGACGTTTCACTTACATCTATGGCAAGCATCCTCAGAGGTTGTGAGGATGCTTGCCATAGATGCAGGTGAAATGTCAGGAGAGAATGCTTCTAGAACATGGCCATATAGCCCGAAAAACCTACAACAACGCTATAATCAAACTGTCAAAGAGCTATATGTTTTCCCAAAAAGTGCAAATCATAAGAAAAGTGAAGATTGCTGAATGAAAAAGTAACCCCTGGAAGCTTTCAGGTTGATGTACTCTAGAACAGTAGTTCTCAACCTTCCGAATGCTGTGACCCCTTAATACAGTTCTTCATGTTGTGGTGGCCCCCAACCATAACATTATATTTGTTGCTACTTCATAACTGGAATTTTGTTCCTGTTATGATTCGCCATGTAAGTGTATAATATGCAGGATGTATTTTCATTCACTGGATCAAATTTGGCACAAATACCCAATACCTCCAAATTTGAATACTGGTAGGGTTGGGAGGAATCGATTTTGTCACTTAGGAGTTGTAGTTGCTGGGATTTATAATTCACCTACAATCAATGAGCATTCTGAACCCCACCAACGATGGAATTGAACCAAATTTGGCACACAGAACTCCCATAACCAACAGAAAATACTGGAAGGGTTTGGTGGACATTCACCTTGAGTTCTGGAGTTGTAGTTCACCTATATCCAGAGAGCACTGTTGACTCAATCAATGATGGACCTGGACCAAACTTGGCACAAACACTCGATATGCCCAAATGTGAACAGTGGGGAAAATAGATCTTGACATTTGGGAGTTGTAGTTGCAGGGATTTATAGTTCACCTACAATCGAAGAGCCACTTGAACCCCACGAACAATAGAATTGAGCCAAACTTCCCACACAGAACCCCCATGACCAATGGAAAATACTGTGTTTTCTGATCATCATCTGTGACCTCCCTGACACCCCCTCCTCGTGATCCCCCCAGGGGTCCCAACCCCCAGCTTGAGAAAGGCTGCTCTAGAAGGTTCAAATGTGCTTGTTAAAACTTATACAACTATTATATGACCTGACGGATTCATTTCGCCTGCATATGTTGTTAGTAGTGTATTGAAACACATTGAACACTTGTGGTATAGGAGTCTATCCATATATTTTTCCTGTGTTGTATCTGCTGTAGTATCATGTTTTCTGCTAAGGAAGCAATGCTGAGGAACACCCTTACCTTTTTAATGGATGATGACCTGCATTGATGATACAAGCTGTATTGTACTTGTGCGCCAGCTGCGCCTGTATCTTGGGAGTCTGACTTGGCCACAGGAGTCCATGCTCTGGTTACATCCTGTATAGACTATTGCAACGCTCTCTACATGGGGTTGCCTTTAAAGACTGTTCGGAAGCTCCAAATGGTCCAACGGGCGGCAGCCAGATTGCTAACAGGAGCAGCTCTCAGGGAGCATACAACTCCTTTGTTGTGCCAGCTCCACTGGCTGCCAGTCTGCTACTGAACATAATTCAAAGTGCTGGCTTTAGCCAATAAAGGCCTAAACGGTTCTGGCCCTGTTTATCTGTCCGAACGTATCTCTCCTTATGAACCATCCAGGAATTTAAGATTTTCTGGAGAGCCCCTGCTCTCTGTCCTGCCTTCTCCACAGGTTCAGTTGGTGGGGACGAGAGATAGGGCCTTTTCAGTGGTAGCCCCTCGGCTATGGAATGCTGTAATAGGGTTAAGAGGTCTCTTAACGCTGTAATAGGGTTAAGGGTCTCTTATTGCTCCTCTGTGACAGGAATATGCGAGGGTGTTACAAGTGATGAGAAAGAAAGGTATGTGTGTATGTGGTAGGTTTGCTGCCACCACCTCAAATCACGGTTTGAGGAATTGTCTAGTAGTTGTAGCTGAGGTAAAATGTCCCTATACACCGGTTCCTCTTTTTTGGCTCCCTTTCTGGTGACTGAACTGCAGAGATGTAGAGGCTGACTGGAACTAACTTTAAATGACAAAACAAGGCTGAGGCAGATTAAAAGTAAACTAGAGAACAGGTTTATTGAAATATTTGAAACAGACAACTAATTACTGAGTGGTACATATGCGTAGTTGGTTATTGAGGCACAGATTTATAAAATAAATGATTTCTTAAGAAAGAGTAACTTTTCTTTGACGTGAGTTACTTTCCTCACACTATTCTATAACAAGTAACAGTGTGTTTCTCAGACCAGCCGCCCTGGCTGTCTGCGAGAGTAACTAGGTTCCTTCTAGACTACTCTGCACTGTAGGGAAATAAACCCACTTGTATTCTCTCCTAATACAAGTCAACAAGCCTTCTCTTTGACTGTCCAAGCCAAAGTACCCTGAAGTACTTGCCCTCTATTATTCCCTCCCAGTCTAATTCTAACTCACTCAGAAACTCTCTTCTCCCTGACTGAAAATCCTAATCCTATCTCTTTCAGATCAAATCCCTCTTCTTTCTTTTAGATCAAAACCATCTCTCCCTCTCTGACAGAAAGTAAAGCCTTTTTACACACTCCTTCAACTCCTCCCCTAGGGGTCTGAGCCAATCAGGAGTTAGCTGACTCCTCCCCTTGCCTCTCTGCCTTACCAAAATGTCAGCTATCCTGAGCTACCCTCCCAACATGGAGGCCTGCTCACTGACTCCCAGGCTGCAGCCTACGAAGCAAAGGTATGAGTTCACTACGCCCTCCCCAGAGATAGCTCCTAACATTCTGAAAAAAGTCAAAACTTGGCTTTGTGAGCAGGCTTTCTCAAATGCAATGTAGTAAATAATTACTTGACCTCAGAACAGCTGGACAATTGCAATCAGATAAAGATTCTGGAAAGTAGATACGGAGGATTTATGTTTGATGTTTTATTGAATTTATTGCTCATGGAATTTTATGGATGTTTATATGCTTTTAACTGTTTATAGTATTGTGGCATTGAATTGTGCCGGTTTTGTAAACCACCCTGAGTCGCCTTCGGGCTGAGAAGGGCGGTATAGAAATATAGCAAATAAATAAATAAATAAATAAATAAATAAATAAATAAATAAATAATGTAGGCAGACTAGTCTGATGTTTAATCTTTTTCTTTATTTCCCCAGATGCCCTGATATCAGGACAAAAGTGGCAGAAAGGTGAGTGTTCAATGAGGGACCAAGTTTGTCGGGGCAAACAAGGGAAAGGGAGTGTGACGATGGAAATGTGATTTCTCATCCACCTCTTCCCTTCTTCCCTTTTTCCATATCTTTCCCCATCCTGATCAGCCAATGTCATTCTGGATCCGGACACAGCACACCCACAACTAATCCTTTTTCGTGACCATAAGAGCGTGAGATGGGGAGAAGAATGGCAAACGTTGCCTCAGAAGGCAGAAAGATTTGAAGAAAAATATATTGTGTTGGGCCGGGAAGGGTTCACAACTGGGAGACATTTCTGGGACATTTCTGTAGGAAAGGAAGGGGAATGGGCCGTGGGAGTCGCCAGGAAATCTGTGGAGAGAAAAGGTGCCATTGAGTTTTCTCCCATGGGAGGAATCTGGGAGATGGGGAAGTGGTCAGGGCGGTATAGGGCCCCCAATCTCAATTTTGACACTTTTCCCTCCCTAGACAAGAAACCCAAAAGAATCCGAGTCTGTTTGAACAGTGCGGCTGGTCAGGTGGTCTTTTATGATGCAGACACTGCAACTCATATCCACACTTTCTTAGCACCTTCCTTCTCAGGAGAGACCCTCCTCCCTTTCTTTTGGGTGAGGAAAAATGGTTACCTCCACATTTTGTAATCAAAGGTCTTTTTTTTCTTCAAAAAATTGCATAAATGGGTGATGTTTAGAAACCTTTTACTGTCACCAAATTTTCATGACCCCAACACTGAGTGAAGGGAACCACATTTGTGGTCAGGAACCACAGTTTAAGAAGCAGTATTATATATAACCTAAAGCTCCAGGTATGCATTGGTGGTTTCTCATCCAAGCACTGGGGCTACAAGAAATGGGGCTACAAAGCTGAATCCACGACATGCGAGTGTGGAGAAGAGCAAACCACAGACCACCTGCTGCAATGCAACCTGAGCCCCGCCACATGCACGATGGAGGACCTTCTTGCGGCAACACCAGAGGCACTCCAAGTGGCCAGATACTGGTCAAAGGACATTTAATCAGCTACCAAGTTTGCAAAATGTGTGTGTTTTTTTTAATCTGTTTGTTTGCTTTGTTCTGTTAGAAATGTGGTACAGTGTTCTGGTTGCGGACGACACGATAAATAAAATCCAAGCACTGACCAGGGCTGACCCTGCTCAGCTTCCACTGTGCTTACTTGTTGTCCTATTGTGCAATAAGAAATGAATAGTACAGTACAGTGTATTGTCGAAGGCTTTCATGGCCGGAATCACTGGGTTGTTGTAGGTTTTTTCGGGCTATATGGCCATGTTCTAGAGGCATTCCCTCCTGACGTTTCGCCTGCATCTATGGCAAGCATCCTCAGAGATTGTATAGTACAGTCTCGCTTATCCAACAGGCCAGCAGAATGCTGGATAAGCAAAAATCTTGGATAATAAGGAGGGATTAAGGAGAATCCTATTAAATGTCAAATTACATTATGATTTTACAAATTAAGCACCAAAACATCACTTTTTACAACAAATTGACAGAAAAAGCAATTCAATACATGGTAATGTTATGTAGTAATTTCTGTATTTAGGAATTTTGCACCAAAACATTGCAATGTATTGAAATAAGTGTGAATCCAGGTGGGAGGTAGACTGTGTTGGATAATAGAGAATGTTGGATGAGCAAAGGTTGGATAAGTGAGACTCTACTGTAACTATTTATGCGAGCCCGAGAGATAAAGTGGTGTAAGGCAAAAGACAAGTGGGGATAATAAGCAAGGTCCTTTCCTTTCATATCTTGTTGGGACACCTTCCATTTGTACTACTTTCTTCTGAAATGAGCATTAAAATGCACAGCCCCTTCCTCAGTTGGCTTCTTGCCAGTTTTACATTGTCAAGTACTTTGAGGCCAGGACCTGTCTATACTTTCTCCCCTTTCAAAGAGAAACTGTTGTTATATTGATAACAATAAATAGATACTTACTTGACTTACTTACTTAGGTGATCCCTCGTAGCCTGAGGTGATGGTCCTCCAAGTGTAGTGTCTTGGTGGTGAGTGTGTAGGTGGCTGTGGAGACCCATGTTTGATCTGCATATTCTCCCGCAGTGAGCACATCAGTTTCCAGGTGGAAGGTGGTCCCCGTCAGGGTTGGCTTGATGCACCTTCCTCTTGGCATGTTTCTCTCTTTCACCCTCCATTCATGCCTCTTTGAATTCTGCAGCACTGCTGGTCACAGCTCACCTCCAGTTAGAGCACTCAAGGGCCAGGGCTTCCCAGTTCTCGATGTCTATGCCACAATTTTTAAAGTTGGCTTTAAGCCCATCTTTAAATCTCGTTTCCTGTCCACCAATGTTACCTTTCCCATTCTTGAGTTGGGAGTCAGGTCACTGCTTTGGGAGATGGTAAACTGGCATTCGGACAACGTGGCCAGTCCAGCGGAGTTGATGGCGTAGGAGTGTCACTTCAGTGCTGGTGATCTTTGCTTCTTTCAGCATGCTGACATTTGTCCTCCTGTCTTCCCAAGAGATTTGCAGGATTTTGCAGAGGCAACGCTGGTGGAATCATTCTAGGAGTTGAGTGTGACATCTGTAGACAGTCCACATTTCGCAGGCGTATAGCAGGGTTGGGAGGACAATAGCTTGGTCTCCCTATGGATGTAAATAGATAACAGCCATAATGCTTCTTGCTACTACTGCTAATATTCTTAGACTTTCAAATGACAGACTCCTTCTTTTCAAAAAGAGGAGCGCTGGTTAACAAAAAGGTTAACATGGTGAGAAGCATTTAAGATCTCAATTATACCATTTATACCATGAGGAAGAACTTCCTGACTGTGAGAGCCATTCAGCAGTGGAACCCTCTGCCCCGGAGTGTGGTGGAGGCTCCTTCTTTGGAAGCTTTTAAACAGAGGCTGGATGGCCATCTGTCAGGGGTGATTTGAATGCAATATTCCTGCTTTTTCGCAGGGGGTTGGACTGGATGGCCCATGAGGTCTCTTCCAACTCTTTGATTCTATGATTCTATGATTTAACACATTGTTCTCTCTGTGTAAGAAGCCGTGGCAATATAATTGAATTTTGTTTATTTTGATGATCCACCACTCTTGGATGTGGAATAGAATCCGTTTTATTGAATAATCTTGTGCAACAATGAAGATAGTTTTGTTTGGAACATTGAACTTTCCTTTGGTCAGAGGCAGCACATGTTCACTGAAGCACATAGCAAACTGACTGTCTGAACTGTACCAACTATGTACCATTAAAGACCATATATTTTAGCTAAGATGCCATGAATATCTTAAAATGAAAATACACTATAACATGGGTATACGTAAAGGTAAAGATGTCCCCTGACATTAAGTCCAGTCATGTCTGATTCTGGGGTGTGGTGCACATCTCCATTTCTAAGCCGAAGAACCGGCATTGTCCATAGACACCTCCAAGGTCATGTAGCCGGCATGACTGCATGGAGCACCGTTACCTTCCCGCCAGAGCACTACCTATTGATCTACTCACATTTGCATGTTTTGAACTGCTACGTTGGCAGAAGCTAGGGCTGACAGTGGAAGCTCACACTACTCCCCAGAATCAAAACTGCGACTTTCGGTCATTAAGCTCAGCAGCTCAGTGCTTTAACCCACTGCGCCATGGGGTATAGTTGATGCATAATCAAATATACAAGTGTGCTTCCTAGATAAAAATTAAAATAGAGGGGGCCCCTCTATTTATACTGCTGCTGAACTTGCTGACCAAAAGCTCAATGGTTCGAATCTAGGGAGCAGGGTGAGCTCCCACTGTTAGCCCCAGCTTCTGTCAACCTAGCAGTTCAAAAATATGCAAATGTGTAGATCAATAGGTACCATTTTGGCAGGAAGGTAACGGTGCTCCATGCAGCCATGCCAGCCACATGACCTTGGAGGCATCTACAGACAACGGCAGCTCTTTGGCTTAGAAATGGAGATGAGCACCAACCCCCAGAATTGAACACGACTAGACTTTTACCTTTACCTTTCTCAGAAGGCTAGATATATCAATCGATAGATAGATCGATAGATTGTAGGGAGCACTTTGATTGTAGACAGCCCTAGACATTGACTAAATTACTCTTTAAAGTCTTTCTGTTTCTTGGACTATCTTCCCAACACTTTAGGAAAGAGGTAGACTGGGAATCTCTTCTATTACATTGTGTTATGAGGCTTGTTGTTTAGTATGGTGGGAAGAATGGATACTACTTAGACATGAAAGAGTCATGAAAATGGAAAGTAATGATTTAGATTTGGGTGGCATAATTTTCTTTGGTATGATAATGTTAAGGCACATGCCGAATATTAAAGGCTCTACTATGAGTTTGGTATACATAGTAGCAAAGACTTTATCTAATCAGCCTCTTCACTGGAGGAAGCTTAAGTTGGGGTTCAAAATGGGATAAGTTTATTTTTGATTACCTCTTTTTACTGTTTAAATTAAGAGAGAGGTTTCTCAAGGAAGGCAAATATTTCAGTTTGCTTATATGCAACTTCAGAATAGATTAAATCAAGATAAGAGAACTCTACCTATAGGAATGGAAGGAAATGGGGTGTTTTTTTGTGAAAAGGCGAGAAAGCAGAGGTAGAAGATGAACCTATAAAAGAGTATACAATGGGATGGGCCCAAAACATTGGTCACAACACTCCAATGGAAAATATACGAGTCTTCACATAATCTGGTTCTTTGAACTGGAGTATATGAGCCTTCATGCCATATAATCCAGTTCAAAGCAGATAATCTGGATATTATATGGCAGTGTAGAAGAGACCATAGTCAAAACTCTCCCGACAAATGGCCATCCAGTCTCAAAACCCCCAGAGAGGTTTAAGCCGTACAGAAGTGGGACACTGGTGCTGTTCAAGTGTAGGTACTGTTGCCACTTTTCGCCCTGCACCAGACAGGAAAGACTGAATCTGCATTAGGCAAGAAGCTTGGTGTGAAGAAATCAACTGTGGGAGCAATAATTAGTAAATGGAAGAGATACAAGACCACTGATAACTTCCCTCGATCTGGGGCTCCACGCGAGATCTCACCCTCTGGGGTCAAAAGGATCACAAAAATGGTGAGCAAAAATTCCAGAATGACACAAGGGAACCTAATGAATGACCTGCAGAGTACTGGGTCCAATGTCACAAAGGCTGCTACCATCAGTAACACACTACTGTGCCACCAGGGACTCTGATCCTGCAGTGCCAGATGTGTCCCCATGCTTAAGCTAGTACATGTCCAGGGCCGACTGAAGTTTGCTAGAGAGCATTTGGATGATCCAGAAGAGTATTGGGAGAATGTCATATGGTCAGATGAAACCAAAGTAGAACTGTTTGGCAGAAAGACAACTAGTTGTGTTTAGAGAAGAAAGAATGCTGAGTTGCATCCAAAGAACACCATCCCTACTGTGAAGCATGTGGATGGCAACATCATGCTTTGGGGCTATTTTTATGCAAAGGGACCTGGGCGACTGATCCGTATACATGAAAGAATGAGTGGGGCCATGTATCGTGAGATTTTGAAGTGCAAACTTCCATCAGCAAGGGCATTGAAGATGAAACGTGGCTGGGTCCTTCAGCATGACAATGATCCCAGGGCAACGAAGGAAGGAGTGGCTCCGTAAGAAGCATTTCAAGGTCATGGAGTGGCCTAACCTATAGAAAATCTTTGGAAGGAGTTGAAACTCTACGTTGACCAGCGACAGCCCCAAAACATCACTGCTCTTGAGGAGATCTGCATGGAGGAATGGGCCAGCACACCACAACAGTGTGTGCCAACCTTGTGAGGGCTTACAGAAAACGTTTGACCTCTGTCTTTGTCAAGAAAGGATAAATAACAAATAAAGGATATATAACAAAGTACTGAGATGAACTTTTGTTATGGACCAAATACTTATTTTCCACCATAATTTGCAAATAAATTTGTTAAAAATCAGACAATGTGATTTTCTGGATGTGTTTTCTCATGTTGTCTCTCCTAGTTGAGGTCTACCTATGATGTTAATTACAGGCCTCTCTCGTCTTTTTAAGTGGGAGAACTTGTACAATTGGTATCTGACTAAATACTCCCCCCCCCCCCCCCACTGTATGGCTATAACCTCAGTTGTTGAAGCCTCAGGACTATACCAAGAAACTCAGCCAATAATAACAACAACAACAAAAATTTATTTCTTACCCGCTCTCCTCAAGGTTTGAGGAAGTATAACTTATTTAAAGTATACAGATGAAACATAAGACCATTAAAAGACATATTTTAAAAGACATAAGATAAAAACATTAAAACCATTCATAGCAAAGAGATCCTATTTATTATGTACAGTTTACAATTGACTGAGAAGGCCTGTCAGAAAAAACAGATCTTTAATAACATCATTATTTCACATCTGGCTATAGAGGCATAGCCAGATTTATTTATTTATTTATTTATTTACTATGCTTCAATACCGCCATTCTCAGCCCAAGGGCGACTCATGGCGGTTTACAAAACAGCACAATTCGATGCCCACAAAAATACAAAAATAATTTAAACATTAAAAACATTTAACACAGGTAAAAATTCATTACAATTGACATCAGTAACGCAATAAAAACCATAAGTCCTCCGCTTTTCATTACCAGTCATTATCCAGTCACGTTGTCCAACCGTTCCAAGATCAGAGTTTAATAGCTACACTGCGTTTGGGAAGGCCTGCTCATATAGCCAGGTTTTAACTTTTTTTGCAAAACGTTAAGAGGGTGGGGGCTGACCTAATGTCCCTGGGGAGGGCATTCCACAACCGAGGGGCCACTGCTGAGAAGGCCCTATCCCTCGTCCCCGCCAATCGAACCTGTGAAGATGGCAGGACCGAGAGCAG